AAGCTTTTAGCAGCCATGGTATATAGAGACAGCATTCCTGGGGGAGAGAGCAAAACCTAATTATCTTCATTTAGATGCTGCTCACATATTAACAGTTGACCTAATTATATGTAGTTATGGTAAAATCTTGGTGGCTTTTTTGGTCAGAATGTAAATGACCATGTATTGAAAAAACAGATCAATGTACAGAAGATAAATTAAAAAAAAACAGACTTATACATATCTACAGTATCTCACAAAAGTGAGTACACCCCTCACATTTTTGTAAATATTTTATTATATATTTTAATGTGACAACGCTGAATGATACTCTGGTACAATGTAAAGTACTAAGTGTACAGCCTGTATAAAAGTGTAAATTTGCTGTCCCCTCAAAATAACCCAACACACCATTAATGTCTAAACCGTTGGCAACAAAAGTGAGTACAACCCTAAGTGGAAATGTCCAAATTGGGCCCAAAGTGTCAATATTTTGTGTGGCCACCATTATTTTCCAGCATTGCCTTAACCCTCATGGGCATCGAGTTCACCAGAGTTTCATATGTTGCCACTGGAGTCCTCTACCACTCCTCCATGATGACATCATGGAGCTGGTGGATGTTAGAGACCTTGCACTGCCCCACTTTCCATTTGAGGATGCCCCACAGATGCTTAATAGGGTTTAGGTCTGGAGACATGCTTGGCCAGTCCATCACCTTTATCTCCAGCTTCTTTAGCAAGACAGTGGTCGTCTTGGAGGTGTGTTTGGGGTTGTTATCATGTTGGAATACTGCCCTGTGGCCCAGTCTCCGAAGGTAGAGGATCATGCTCTGCTTCAGTATGTCACAGTGCATGTTGGCATTCATGGTTCCCTCAATGAACTGTAGCTCCTCAGTGCCGGCAGCACTCATGCAGGCCCAGACCATGACACTCCCACCATGCATGACTGTAGGCAAGACACACTTGTCTTTGTACTCCTCGCCTGGTTGCCTCCACACACACTTGACACCATCTGAACCAAATAAGTTTATCTTGGTCTTATCGGACCACAGGACATGGTTCCAGTAATCCATGTCCTTAGTCTGCTTGTCTTCAGCAAACTGTTTGCAGGCTTTCTTGTGCATCATCTTTAGAAGAGGCTTCCTTCTGGGACGACAGCCATGCAGACCAATTTGATGCAGTGTGCGGCATATGGTCTGAGCACTGACAGGCTGACCCCCCACCCCTTCATCCTCTGCAGCAATGCTGGCAGCACTCATACGTCCATAACAAACACAGAATAATTTATACAACTCCGAAGGGCAGTATAAACTAAAAAAATGGGATAGCACACAAGATATAGAGGATACAACATGTACAACAGGAGGTGATCTCTGGGAGATCTAGAAATATAAAATCACAAATATTGAAGTATGTAAAGTAAAGTGACTAAATCCAGGAGGTAGAAAACTTACAAAAGAATACGTCTAGATATGACGCTGAGCATGTGCATGCAACTTCTTTGGTTGACCATGGTGAGGCCTGTTCTGAGTGGAACCGGTCCTGTGAAACCGCTGTATGGTCTTGCCCACAATGCTGCAGCTCGGTTTTAGGGTCTTTGCAATCTTCTTATAGCCTAAGCCATCTTTAGGTAGAGAAACAATTCTTTTTTTCAGATCCTCAGAGTTCTTTGCCATGAGGCGCCATATTGAACTTCCAGTGACCAGTATGAGAGAGTGTGAGAGCGATCACACAAAATTTAACACACCTGCTCCCAATTCACACCTGAGACCTTGTAACACTAACGAGTCACATGACACTGGGGAGCGAAAATGGCTAATTAGGCCTAATTTGGACATTTTCACTTAGGGGTGCACTCACTTTTGTTGCCAACGGTTTAGACATTGACTGTGTGTTGAATTATTTTGAGGGGACAGCAAATTTACACTGCTATACAGGCTGTACACTTACTACTTTACATTGTAACAGAGTCATTTCTTCAGTGTTGCCACATGAAAATATATAATAAAATATTTACAAAAATGTGAGGGGTGTACTCACTTTTGTGAGCTACTGTAAATGTATTAGTGTTATATGTATAACAATAGAAATCACAAAGTCAAAAGTGTATAGCTGTATCTTAACACATCTTTGTGTATTTTAAAAACACAGAATGGGACTAGATGTGATTATTATTTTATGTATATAGCCAACAACTTCTGTAGCGCTGTACAATGGGATTATAATTATGTAAACAAGGCATAAGAAGGCAGATTTAATGAATGCCATTATAGTGATTATATCGATCATACTTTATTTTAACTTTTTTGTTTTTAAAAAAGGATTTATCACTTTTAAAATGTTAGCGCAACTAATAGCTAATTAAAAAAATATCTATTGGTTGTGTTAAAATTCTCTCTATATTAATTTTTATTTTAATATGCATGTTATCCCAGTAATTATTTGCTAACACATTTAATACAGTCCCACACAAAAGTTACTGAAATCTGTTGTGCACGTGCTGCTCTGGATGCCAGAACAACAGACAACCCCACTTTTGGAGCTTATGTGTTATTGGTGACGACACAACATGACCCCTCTCTTGCCCTACACCCCTCAAATTGGGCAGCTCTGCCTTTAAATGCCATGGCCAACTGTCTGTCCCAGTCAGGCCCTGTGCACCACCCGTGCCAAATCACACAAATAGTACCATACAATTAAAGCAGTATCGCTTGTTGGAGGTGGTGTAGCTATATCAGTGAACTGACTGTGCAGGGAACTACTGTCTGCCTGCCATCCACCCCCTGACTCATAGCCAATGAGTGTGGCCCTGCAGGAGCTTTTAACTGCAGAATAAGTAATTGCGGGTACCTGAGGAACCACAGGCAAGTTGTATTTTTTAAATGGTTTGACTACTTCCTGTGAGAGGGCTCGAGAGCACTAGTGGCACCATAACCACTACAGCAGGCTGTAGTGGTTATGGTGCTTGGTGTGTTCCTAACACTATATAGCTAGATAGTGAAAGCATTGTCTTGATTCTGTTTGTCTGTGACACTTTATAGGATATGATAAGGATGTGATTCAGAGGGCAGAATGCACCATGTGTTTTAATGTGAACTATTCATCCTATAATGGTACTACTTCTCAACTTTTGACCTTAAGATGAAGTTGTTATTTAAAGTATGCAGAAAAGCTCTACTGTGGTATGCATAGGATCATCTTTCACAGCATATGACTTTTTTCACTGGCTTCAATGAGGCCTGCTTTTAACATGTACCCTAAGCTTGTAAAAGGTTAATTGCCTGATGTGCCCCAAATAGACAGCTATTACATTACATCAGGGAGAGGTTGGCAGGGGTTGCTGTGATTTTAAGGATTATGTCACAATGTCACTCTCCAAAGTCTTCTAAACACTTTGCCTGGTAAATAGCCTTATAACAAGTGAAATGATCAGCAATCACTGTGCCACAAAGCTCACGTCTTGGGAGAACCAAGAGGAACTGAAATTGGATAGACATAAATTAGCCTTGCACACAGCAACATTTTGCATGAGGGTAGTGAGAGGTTATGATGTAAAAAATATTTGTGGATTTTCAATCCTACTGGTTAATGGAACACTCCAAGCACCACAACCACTACATCATAATGTGGTAGTTTTTGTGTTTGGAGTGCACTGGCACCCACCCGATGTAAGCAGTAAAACCGTTTGCTAAAGGTTTAACATCTTACCTTGGGTCCGTTCACCATTAAATTGTGTAGTGGTGTAGTAATCTCGTGGTTGTAGTATTTGAAATATTTCTTTATACTTTTTTTTTTTTTTTAAACGCACATGTGTTTAAGGCAGGCACAAGATTGTTTTATTCAAGTCAACAATATGCTAGACAGCTATTTATCAATGAAGCATGCCATGCAGTGACTTTGGGATTAAATATGGAGTAAATTCTATTGCTATTGACTGAGAATTAAAGATAAAGGGAGCAATAGTACAGTCAATCACATTGTTTCTATGCACATTACACCTGTGTTCCTGTGCACTTGCTTTGTATTCTCATAGAGAATCACTGTTAGGAGATAGTGGCAATTGTTGCGCATGCGTCATGTTCCAATGCTTCTGCATGAGGAGCTTCTGAGTGGACCCTGTAGCTAGAGCTTCTGACCACTTGTTCTTCCCTGTCCCAGCACCAAGGCACAGCCCTGTAATAGCTAAAGGCAGTAAAAAAAATTGCGAGATTGGCACCCAGAACTACATGTGCTGGGTATCAGGCAATAGAAATTCCACATCCCTGTGACACCACAGGAGGCAGATCAGAGTGTTCCTTTAAATCTGAAAAATGAATTAGCTTTTGCATTTCCAACTTGTTGTCAAATTGACAAGAGAACTAGTAAATTAAAATTAGAAATAGATAATTAAATTAGAAATAGATAATAAAATAAACTAGTAAGATTAGAAGAAACTGAAACCTAAAAAAAGCTCTGCTTTTTTTTAGCCTAGAATTTGCAACTTTATTGTCAATTCAACAGAACTCTGAATATTGAGTACCGTTTTACTAAATGACAAATAGCAGTCAATTGCAAAATATTATCAAAATAGCTGATTTGGAAAAATTCTCCATCTGAGCTGCGGTCACATCATTTTAGTCTGATTTAAAAAAAAAATAAAAATTTTTTTGTAGCTTTGTTTTAAATTCCATAATAAACCTTCATGGTAGCAGCCTGATTTATTTCATCATAATTTTTATTTGAGTGATATTCCAACCTCCCAAATTGTAAAACCTCCTTCTGTAGGGGTTTTCTCCCCCTCTTCTATCTCACTTTTCTTTTGCCTCACAATTATTTACTGTTCCATATCCCTGATTGTAAAGCACTGCAGAATATATTGGCGCTGTATAAATGACAATAATAATAATAATAATAATGGATAATATTTTAGTTTCCCAGATAATGATGCTTACATTGAAGCCAGTGGCTTACTGATCAATAAGGCAGGCAGTAGCTTGCCACACACCCTTTGTTGGTCACACTGATGTCATGTAGGGCTTATTGTTATTATGATGTGAGTGCAATTTAATTTATTCCCCCTCTATGCCATGGACACCCCTCCATCCCTCCTCCCCTCCCCCTGCCGCCATGTTTGTCCGCCCAGTGCCTTCCCCTCCCTGACAGATAACTCGGGCTGTGCACTTCATGTTCCGCCAGGAAGGCAGCAGCGGTGGTGGCGGTGTGCTGGCTCTGCTCGGGGGAGGCAGCATGTCCAGGTACACGGACTGGCTGTATGGGGGGGTGGACCCCAGCCTGGAGGGCAATGGGGGTCCGCTGTGCGCCTCCTTCCTGCCCGGCCGCCAGAGGCTGCTAGAGAGCATCGTGCTGCTGGCCGTGTCCGTGCTGGAGATCGGGCTGTCCCTGCGGAGGATCACCCGCTGCCCGCTGCAGGATGGGGGGCTGCCCGCACCGTGTGCTCGCCCGGAGAGCCTTGGGAAGAACCTGCTGCTGGTAGCGCTCTGCCTGACCTTTGGGGTGGAGGTCGGATTCAAGTTTGCTACTAGGACTGTCATCTATCTGCTGAACCCCTGCCATGTGGTCACTATGTTACAGGTATGGCCCAGCACTGGCACTAAGACTATATACATATATATGGCACTGAGGGTAGATACATATATATGGCACTGTGTGTGTGTGTGTGTATAGAGAGAGAGAGAGAGAGAGAGAGAATATAGAGAGAAATATGTGTGTTTGTGTATATATCAGCATTGGACACTCCAGGTGCTGTGCACTATATTTATTAGAATCAGGCAACAATTGGGTTTGTCATGGCGCTGAATAATGCATAGCAGTCATATACATAGTTCATTATACTATTTAGTGCTATTTGATAAATCTATTCTTTGACCCATCTGTTAAAGCACAATTCTTTATCAATAAATGTGATTGTATGTCTATTGTATGAATCTTTGCCAGTGTGGCACACAAATGGTTAATACCCCAGATGCCAGCCTGGCAAGTTAATGGATTGCGTTCATTGTTGCCCATCTTGCAGTGGTGAATTGTAACCCTTTTATGTAACAATGCATCTTTAACAGGCAGTGGAGTTTAGGAAGTGTGCCAATTCAGCATTAGAGTTTATCTATGAGAGAATCCAACATTCTGAATGATAAAGCTAATATAAAATCTGACATTCTGAAACAAAAACACTGAAATTTGAATTTAGTCATAGATGAATTGACATTCGCATTGCTGTGATGTGAGCTGCAAAATCTGACAGCATAGATAATATGCAGTGACACTTTTTTCTACCTGTATTTTTAATGTACAAGTATATCACAAACACACAAAAAAACTCAAACTCATAGCCCTGTAATAAAGATGTCAAATTTTTTTAACTCATTTGTACACAGGAGGACAATAAATGAATGGAGGGCGCAATCTCGTTGCTATGCAGTTGAATTTGGCAGTGATCCTTCTTTTAGGGATGGGCATGAATGCCACATACACGTGTTATATAACTGATAGTTACTACAAGTTAGAATAAGCAAGTGTATACAGTTCTCTGCTGAGGCCTCCATCTGGTTGTTTATTGCTAGCATTAGTTGATATTTTTTTTTTTTTTTTTTTTTTTTTTTTTAATTTTTTTTTTAATTTTATTTTTTTCCAAGTGGGTTTGGGAAAGTAGTCCTAAAGATTGTATATTTAAAAAAAAAAAAAATATATCTTATACAATTTTGGTTACTTTTGAGGCTACGTGATAAAATACAGACTTTGGCCTTGTGTGTTTATTTGCTAAGGAATACAATCTTTATCAGTATACCTTTTTACTGTAAATATTGATTAGATATTCTTGGTGTATGCACCTTGCTCACCTCTAGTTACGGCCATATCCGGTTTCATTCAGTTTTTTTTTGTTCAGATAGATGTAGTCTAGGTCTCTGGGTTTTAACAATTCCTTATGGGTTAATGATTCAGGTATTATGGTTATAGATTTTTGAAACTAATTGGGTTATCCCTAAATGATGGATCATTAGTGCTCTCTAAGGACTGTTTTTTAAGACCGACGGGATAAGTCTAGTACTTTGAAACGGGTGTATACGATATGTTTTCTCTTTTTAATTACACGTTCACTGAGGCACATCCTATATCTTCCTGTAAACATTTGCAAGTAATGCATTCTTACGGAAATATTATTTACGCACATAAGACTGGTTTTAGGATGGCTTTAAGTGAAGGTTTGTGGGAAACCTTACCATTTCTATTATGCGAGGTTGGCATGCTCTTTTTTTTTTACAATTATTTATTTTTGATGTGCATATAAGTACATTATGACATTAAAAACCACAACTGTGTACAATTTAGCATATAATGTTCAAGGCAGTGGCGTGTGAAACAGCACATTTTGTTTTAGGCTGGCATGTCTATAACAGTAGTGTGGGGCAAATTCACAAGAGTATGTAGACATGTGTATAAGATGCATTGCTAGATGGGATAGGGTATAACATAGTAAACTGGCAGCGTGGCAGAGGCTGTTTGTGGATAAAATTAGGATTACTCCATGACATGCCTTAGCTATGACTATAGAGTGAAACCGCTTTGGCTATACCTTGTATAATGTCACCATACATCAAGCGGTTAAATTAAAAGATAACAAAATTAGAAGTTATATTGACGAAAAAGTAATATCACAAGAATGAAGGGCTGGTATGCGTCTGTTTTTGGTTGAGAAGATGGTGCTTCACTTGTGTGGCTTGTTGCCCGACTCATTCGATTCCCATAAGCGGCATAGATTGAGCACCTGTAAGAGGGTCTGTCAGTTTGGCTGCACAGTGGTTTCCATAAGGTGTGATCTTGCAGACACTCACGATCACCCAGATGTTCTTTCACTGGGGAGACTCTGAGGTTTGGCTGACGTTCTTCCTCAGGTAGGGTTGCTGCTTTGGCTCTTAGTGCCATGTGGTCCTGGCCGCCTGATAGGTAGCCCATCAGACAGGTTCCGTGTCTGGGTACCTCGAGGGGGCTTTCACACCCTTTGTATGCTGCCGCTCTGTGCTCCCTCTCTGGGTGTGGGAGGAGTGGGCTCCATATACGTTTGGAGCTACATTCAGAATCGCCTGAAAGTTTCCTTAAGCCACAGTAAACAGGTATCTATTATGTGTCCTGCTTGTCATGCCCAGCTCTAATGTGTCTAGAGGGATTGGAGCCACCATCTTGGCTCGCTCTGGCCTTCGGAGGTAACGGCTGGAATCGGGAGGTGGGTACAGTTAGGGCTGCATATAGTTGCCCAGTGGGGACTGGGATGACCCCTGCCGGTCCAGAGGGGGCAGAGGCGTCAGAGGCCAGTGGGGCCACGCTGTGGAGTGAGGAGAGCGGCCGTTTCCCCCCAGCTCGAGTCCCAGTACACCGTAGTTAGTCTGCTCCGGTTCCCGGAGGTCAGGTTTTTCGGGTAAGGTCTCGATTGAGTCCCCTTGGTACCCTGGACGTGGGTGGTGCACCTTGGTAGGTATATCCGCTCAAAAGTCGGGTTATTTCCCCAGGATTAGTTGAATTAGTAGGAGCTCGTGTTTCATGCGTCTAGTCAGCTGCACGTCCAGGCTCCGCCCCCTGCATGCTCCTTTTAAAGGGACACTACAGTCACCAGAATCACTACAGTACACCTGCAGGATTTTTAATGTAAACACTGCCTTTTCAGAGTGTGTACTTTGGTGAGAACGTGCTTCCTAGTCCAGTGGCTGTCTGAGTGACTGCCACTGGCGTTCATTGTCTCCACACTCTGCATGGAGGTGCTGAATGTTCCTCCATAGAGATGCATCGATTCAATGAATCTCTGAGAAGATGTAGCTTGCAGCAACATTTTGCTGTGCATGTGCAATAGCCTCCCAATGCTTTTCTATGGTGATGCATTGGATTGCCTGTGATCATAAAGTCTGATAATCTTTGCCACGGAGTCAGAACCAGTCGCTGTGAGTCTGGCACGGCGTTGTAGAAAAGGTGAGTTTAAACTCCTTTCCACTGCTCTAAGAGTGGGGCTGAGGACCTAAACTTTCACACCAGCACTACGGTGTCAGGAATGCATCTTTGTATTACTGACACTATATTGTTTCTTAAAGTTAGTTTTAAAAAATTGCTGATGGGAATTTCTGAAATTAGGTTTAGGTAATTGTCAGGAAATTCAAAGTGAATTTAAAATTTTAGCCCCCAAATAGCCAACTAACTGACTTAAACTTCACTCTCAATCCAGGTCACTCTCTATGGATTAAACAAGTCAGTACATGCTACAAAGTTTGATAATTTAGTCTTGTTCCAAATACTCAAGAATATTGCAGATTTCAGTAACTGTTTAGAGACTTAAAATTAAGGGACTTGCAGCAAAGCCTGAAGTAAAAGGGACAGCAGTAATGACCCCTACTCTGTTTGAGAAATTATGATTAACTGAAAACCCGCAGAGGGGACTCATCACCACGCTATAGGGACCACCACTTGGGCTCAGAATCCAGGGAATGGTGAGACCTGAAATACACTCTGCGATAGTCAGATCTAGAGGGTACGATGGAAGAAGGAGAATAGTAGCATTAAAGGCCTAGCGCAGACAGAGCGTTTCCATCTCTCTGAAAGCTGTAGCTGAAGTAGGGGAGTGGTGCCTGGTCGACCCCCACGTAAGAAATCAAACTGTTCTAAAACGGTTTGACTACTTACATTGGAGGGAAGCCAGAACACTCCTGGTACCTTAACCACTGCATTGTGCTGTAGTTATGGTGCTTGTAGTGTTCCTTTTTATAGTGCACTGTAGGCACCCAGACCACTTCAGCTCATTGAAGGGGTCTGGGTGCAGTGTTCCAGGCCCCTTGTCACAGCAAAGGTAATCATTGCAGTTTGTAATAAATTGCAGTAATTGTCTTTTGATGGTTAACTCCACCTCTACCACACAGCCACTAGAGGGTCTTCCTGGTCGTTGGGCAATGCATGAGGACATTCAGGGTCACACACAATCCCGTAGCAAAGCATTATATAATGGGGGAAGCCCTAATGAGAGTGCAGCCATCGCCGCACATGTGCATTAGGTCTACCCAGTTGGCACGGGAGGAGTGGAGATGGAGCTTGAACCAGCGCCGAGAGACATCAGTGCTGGGATCAGGTGAGTGACAGAAGTTTTTTTTTTTTTTTAAACTCCTTCTGCACCCCGGAGGGGAGGGGTTGGGGGGGCAACAAAGGGGGACACCATAGCAAGCTATAGTGCCAGGAAATCTTTCCTGGCACTATACCTTACCTTTAAGTACAGAAAATATCGCACACACACACACACACACACACACGCTTTTTTTTTATTTTTATTTTTTTATATTTACAAAGAATCCCATTTTGTATAACCACTCTTTTTTTTTTTTTTCTCTGTGAAAAACTAATATCCGTGTTGATTGATTGTGCCAGTTATGTAATATCTAGGATTAAAATTAAAACCTGAAAGATGCATATAGTGACAGGAGGATAATGGGGACACAGCTAAAACTGGAGGCCGAGCAACAGAATCCAGGTCAATCAGCAGAAATGTCTCTTTATATATGTACATAGAAAAAAAAAAATTGGGAGCTCACCCGGAAAATGCATTTCTTACTCAGATTAAGGAACCGCACTCAAACAAAAATAGTTCTACATTTTACCAGGCTTAAAAAAAAAAAAACCTGTCTCCGCAAACCAATATGAGGATTCGGTTCCACCATATGGCTATATTGTGTTAAGCCCACCACTGCACCACAGTACAGCAATACTTGTTAAAATTTATGTAAGACCCACTGATATTCTAGTACTGTGGCATAGGGTAGGCTTACCAATAGCAATGCCGCTTTAATAATGATATTTTTATTTGAAATGGAGCAGATATGATATGCATTGTGAGTATATCTGTACATATCAAAGCACTGTCACTTTAATTGTTTTAGTTTTTACACTGCATTGTTATTAATTGCGTTTATCACATTAACTTTGCATTATATATATTCACAATGCCCTTATAGATTAATTAAATTCACTTTAGTATATTTAGCCCAGGCGCTATTTATCTCTCACGTTGGAATTAGTGTAGGACCCCTGATATTAAGGATCTGTGAAGTAGTGGTGGGCTTAGCATAATATGGCCATATGGTGTAATTGAATTTCCATATTTCTTTGGTAAGATAGGTGATTTTAAGTAGCCACATAAAATTGAAAACTGTATTTTTGTGTGTGCGCTGTTCCTTAATCTGTATATTCTTTATATATGTATGTGATGAATTTGTGCGGTCTCACTAGCATGTAAGGTAATTAGTATCACAGCATGGAGACATAAGAAAGTTGGCTATCATGCAGTGCTTTGTTGTGGGTTAACTAACTAGCCGATTTATTCACTATATTGTGTCTTGATGGGAAACAAAATTAAAGTTTAAGCCAAAATGATCAAATTGGGGGAAATGCTGTCGGCCATGTTTTTAGTTTGGCTATATCTGCCTAATTGTGAAATTCACTTTAAATTCCTGGCACCGTTTCACATTTAAAGGAAATATCTGACTCCAGTTTGATGACTTTTTCTTGTCTAGTTTGATAAACCACATAGAGAAGCATTAAAGGACCACTCTAGGCACCCAGACCACTTCAGCTTAATGAAGTGGTCTGGGTGCCTGGTCCAGTTAGGATTAACCCATTTTTTTTTATAAACATAGCAGTTTCAGAGAAACTGCTATGTTTATAAATGGGTTAATCCAGCCTCTAAAGCATCTAGTGGCTGTCTCATTGACAGCCGCTAGAGGCGTTTGCGTGCTTCTCACTGTGAAAATCCGTGAGAACACGCAAGCGTCCATAGGAAAGCATTATGAATGCTTTCCTATGAAACTGGCTGAATGCGCGCTCAGCTCCTGCCGCGCATGCGCATTCAGCCGAAGAGGAGGTGGAGAGGAGGAGGAGATCTCCCCGCCCAGCACTGGAGAAAGGTGAGTGTTTAACCCCTTCCTCTCCCTAGAGCTCGGCGGGACGGCCTCTGGGCACTATAGTGCCAGGAAAATAGTGGTCCTTTAAGGGCACACAACGCTGCAAAAGCCATGATCCACACAGCACCCACAGAGGTATTTGCTAAAGTGAATTTCAAATTTAAAGGGACACTATATTAACCAAAATAACAACAGCTTATTGTATTTGTTCTGGTCAGTAGAATAATTACCTTCAGGCTTTTTTGCAGTAAACACTGTTTGTTTTTCAGAGAAAATGCAGTGTTTACATTAGAGCCTAGTGATAACTCCACTTGTCACTCCTCAGATGGCTACTAGAAGTGCTGCAGTGGGGCAGTGCTGCACAGTCAGTGTCTCCACACTCTGCATGGAGACACTGAACTTTACTCATAGACATACATTGATTCAATGCATTTCTGTGAGGAGATGTTGATTGACCAGGGCTGTGTTTGACTTATGCTTGCTCTGCCCCTGATCTGCCTCCTTGACAGTCTCAGCCAATCCTATGGGGAAGCATTGTGATTGGCTTAGAGAATCACTTCTGATGTCAGACAAGCAGGCAAAGCTAACAGCAGCAGACTTGAATAATGGTATGAGTTTTTTTTTTTTAGTTTTTATTTTTTTTAATTTTATTTATTTTTAACTATATTTAGGGGGGGAAAGGGGATACCAGAGGGTCGAGACGGTTTTTAACACTACAGTATAGGGTCAGGAATACAGGTTTGTGTTCCTTACCCTATAGTGTCCCTTTAAGGCTTGAGTTTCTGAACTGAAAGCATAGCTGACTTAGAGAAGATTTCCAGTCTCGCTTTTTTTACCTTAAATTTAAAATTCGCTTTGAATTATTCTTTAATGAATAACCCTTCCAGCGTCAGCTTGCTTAAATGCTGGTGCCTGATGTCAGATTCAAGAATTTAACCTTTTTCTGCTTAGAGCCCTTAATGGCTCTTGTCCCTAGTGAACATTGAAATGGCAAAATGTAAACTGTCATCTCTCTGAAACTGCACCATTTTTATTTGCAAGGCTGCTGTGGCAGTATCTGGCATCCAAAAATCTCTTTATAAAGACAGAGCTCTGGAGTCTGAGTCTAACTTAGAGGTACCATAATTTGAGGAGTCGCAAGTGATTTTGGTGCTTAGAGAGTGTCCCTTTAAACAAGTAATCCTGTTATTACATTTCTGATGGTTTTGATTGAGAGGAAACACTGGTCAGTTGTGATTCAGATATGTCCTTTACCATATATTGAGTGATCACTGTTGACCATAATTGATAGCATGCAAAACAGATGTTTTTTATTTTTTAATTTATTATTAATGTTGTAACGGAACTCCTCGTACTCCAATCGAGTACCTTCCGTTGATGGATGCTTCGGAGCCTGCGACGAGGATCACAAGCACGGCACTGGACACCACAACCACTGCAGACTCCACAACCGCCGTAGCTTAACTGGAGTCTCGCCGTCTTCTGTCCACCCTGGATCGGCTTCTGTCCTCCATGACCGTGTGGGGAAGACCTCTCCTCCAGGAGAGCTTTTCAGGAACAAGCTCTTAAAAGAGCTAAGTGATTAAAGCTCAAAGGAGTATGCAGAGCATAGCAATCCCCAGTGTGATAATAGCAGTTCCTTCCCATAACGAGACGAGGCTACGTTTTGAAGGGTAAAGAAGAACTGTCTGTGCTGGCACATACAGTCTCTTTTATTCACATTCTACAAACATAGTACTGCCCACAGGGTTTTGAAGAACAACCAATCAACACATTACAACACAGCTAACACTCCCATTCATTACATCAGAAATCCTCCCCTCTGCCTGTGATACAATAGACTAACTTAATTATCACAGGCATGAAAATACAGTAATATAAAACATATCACAGGGACCCCAAATAATTACTGTATAATGTGTCCCCTGTTCTGTAGTTTAAAACTACTTAACGATGTCTTTGTGTACCGAATACCGGCGAGATGGCACCGTGTAGAAAAGTTAAAACAGTGTCTGTGAGTTAAAATGGCCGCCATCCATTGTTCTCACCATGTGCTTCATCCATTGTTCTCACCATGTGCCTCTGATACATGAAATGGTGGCCACCCAGTAACTCCACAGTTTGTCTGATAGTCTATCCAGCTGGACCAACAGATGAAACACATGGGGAACAGTGCAACAAACGAAGGGAATCTTAAAATATATGGACAATAGTCATATTTGTGCACAATCTCCAGTTTTGTCACAGGGCACAAATAGTGTTTTCAAATGCCATATATCCCAGGGCCATAGTCATGTGGCAGGAGGTGGGCAATCAGTCCTATCCAATGCCCAGTCGCAAATGGCAGTTTGTCACAAATGGTTTTTATTGTGAGGAAATCTTACTATCTTTAGTAATATCTCTGTAAACTGATTAGCCTTTAATTCTATGTCCCTTTCAGCAGTTAGCAATGTTACTTAAAATGTTCTCAGATAGGGCCTGTTGTTCTGCCAACTGATAATATGCAGGAGCAGAGAGAAGGAATGTGCCTTTCTTAATCATGGTGGAACCATCGGATCTACTCCAAAAACATATGAAATACAATAAGGTTTATTCACTAACTAGTAAGTTAAGGTGAAATGAAAGACAGATTGCAACATTTTCAACAAAATAGCCAAATTTGTTAAAAAAAAATAGCTTAGTTTACATATTTGACCTTAAATGTTCCTTTTGGTCTTTAGATGACTACGAATAACAGACCGTTACGTGTACACCAGGTGTTAACTGACTATTCAAAAGTGAGGATCCTGTGTTAGTTATAATGTAGAAGTGGGGTCACACGAGACTCATTCTGTACATGTGCTTGATTTGAATTACTGCAATGTATGCTTGCTGTGAAAATAGCAGTAACACCCATTGTTATATTAATGGCAATATTTTAGTTAATCAGTTGCAGATATTAAGCAAAAAGGCCATTACTATTTTTATTTTTGAATTGTAGCTTTCATTTCCAGAAGTCATGAACTGTATACTTCAAGATGAACCAAGCACACTTGCAATTTCAAATACTTACTCATTTAGATGGGTTTATGACGCTTGTATTTGAGTTATTTCATTGTCTTATGGCATAGTTTGAGGAACTTAAATATCAAGGACTTTCTGCTAGTTGCAGCTTATCATTTTTAAATTTTACTTAAAATTTTTTTTTTAAAGGGCAAAGGTAATTGCTGGATAATTACTTCTATATATTTTTTATTTTTTTTTAAAGTCAGCAAACCAAATGATCAGTTTATAGAAAAATCGTGGAATTGAGAAACAAACCCAAAGTTATCCAGGTATATTTACAGTATATTGTTGACAAAGCAATGTATTCCAGATATTGGATAGTTGCTATTTTTTTATTTTTAATAGAATTCTTATTCATGTTACCCCCATCACTCTGTGTACCTTTGCTTTGAGTATTTTCAGTAATAGTTTTCAACAAAAAAAAAGTTACGATGGATGACTGCATCGGGGTGAGCAACTTTTAGCATTACAGATGTGAACTACATCGCCCGTAATGCTTTCCCAGTGTTATGGCTGTATGCGCATTATGGGAGACGTAGTCCAACACATCTGAAATACTGAAGATTGCCTATGCCAGAACTAGATGGCACTTGTTATCTGTGAGACTGGTTTTGGGCATTACGGTGCTGTTTTAATGAAGGAAGCTTTTAAACTATGCGTGCTTCAGGGCTCGATTGTAGGGGAAAGACTGCTTCTAGTTGACGGTCAGGAAACCTCTATTCCTATCAGAGCGCTCTGGGAACAAGTAAGGAACAGACAAATACGATTCCAAACGAGTTCTGGACACATTTCGTAATTTTGAGAATTCTTGTTTTATAAGCACCTCTATTTAGGATTGCAACAGCGCTACTTAAATTAAAATATGGCGTTTGGGTGCGGCCATATGTTAAGCAAAGGATTAAATATGAAACTGTAAATGTAACTCGTAGCAGAGCTTGCTATAACCTGTTCTAATTACTTATTCTCTGTGCCCTCTTTCATAAAATAAGTCTAATACATAGTTTTTGTTTGCTGATGCAGCCAGATACCAATGCCTCAGAGAATGTTTGGTCCGGGTGCGGTCAGAACGTTTAAAAGGGTTTGATTTTTGTGTGGCATATACCAAATGTCTTTCCAAACAGACATATATGTACATTAGGCCTATTGACAACAAAACTGCACCTACCTCAAATTGTTACTACTGATTTGAAGGATGAATTCTGTTTAATAATCTGTCAAAGCACCTTTATGTTGTACTTATGAACTGTTTGCACAGGAGCTAACACGTGTAAAGCAAACATATTTCTCAATGCAGTGTGGCTTGCCAATGTTTTTATTAATATTTTATGGTGACAATATGAAATATTCTAAAATGCATTGCGTTTTTTTTACATTAAAGGGATGCTATAGTCACCAAACCGGCTTTAGCTTAATGAAGCAGTTTGTGTGTATAAATCATGCCTCTGAACTTTGCTTCTCAAGTCTCTGCCATTTAGGAGTTAAATCACCTGTTTCTGTTTATGCAGCCCTGTCTCCCTTGTCTGTGACTGAATTAAAACTAAATGGTTTCATTTTGAATCAGATGTAACTTAATTTATATCTCCTGCTTTGTTAATTGAACTTAAATTACATACAGGAGGGTACTGCAGGGTCTATCAAGCAATTCAGAGCAGGAGATAAGAAATTCTAAATTAAATAGGTGTTGCAATAAAGAAAGTGTAAACATTAGATTACTCTTTACAGGAAGTGTTTAGGAAAGCTGTGTAAGTCACATGAAGGGAGGTGTTCCTAGGGCTGCATAAACAAAGTGATTTAACTCCTAAATGACAGAGAATTGAGCAGTGAGACTGCAGGAGCATGAGATATACATCAAAACTACTTCATTAAAGGGACTTTCCAGTGCCAGGAAAACAATCTGTTTTCCTGGCACTGCAGGTCCCCTGTCCCTCCCACCCCCCATCCCAAGTTGCTGAAGGGGTTAAAACCCCTTCAGTGACTTACCTTTATCCAGTGCCGATGTCTCTCGGCGCTGGTTCAGGGTCCGCCCACGCTCCTCGGCGGGGGAGACCTAATGTGCATGCGCTGCAATGCACGCATGTGCATTAGACCTCCCCATAGGAAAGCATTGAAAGATGCTTTCCTATGGGGATTTCAGCGACGCTGGAGGTCCTCACATAGCATGAAGATGTCCAGCTACGCTATAGCACAAAAAATCTGTGCTATAAACCAGGAAGTGCCCTCTAGTGGCTGTCTAGTAGACAGCCACTAAAGGAGGAGTTAATCCTGCAATGTAAATATTGCAGTTTATGAAAACTGCAATATTTACAGTCGCAAGGTTAAGGGTAGTGGGAGTTGGCCCCGAGACCACTCCAATGGGCAGAAGTGGTCTGGATGCCTGGAGTGTCCCTTTAAGCTAAAGTTGTTTTGATGACTATAGTATCCCTTTAATATGGATGTCAATTACTATGCAATAGTACCATATAGTTCAACAAGCAATCAAATTGTGATACTAGCACCCAAGGTAACAAATACACGCTCTGAAATTGAGCAAAAAGCAGAAACACTTGATTGGTTAGCATTGCAATTGATATTATATACGTGTGTGTGTGTGTGTGTGTGTGTGTGTGTGTGTATATATGTATGTATGTATATATATATATAGATATATATATATATATATATATATATATATATATATCTATATCTATATATCAATATAATCATAGTATAAAATCTATGACAAAATACACTTATTTGGGCTGGAGGGAGGGTCAGATAAAGCCCTCCTTTTGCGAGGTGGCATAACACGCCCTAACGTCGAGATGGAGTTAATTTTACTCAGTAACTGGGCCAGGTTTGTTTTTATTTGAAAATGAAGTAAACCCATTTGCTGTCTCACAAAGGAATACCAACTGGTAAAAGGCACATTGTCTGATGAAACTGTGCAATGCTACCCCTGGGATGTAATTAAACCTAATTGAAAAAACACCCAGGTGTTCTTCTTTCTTTAAATTATATAGTCCTTTTAATCTCCATCTGAAAATCCATAGGGCCGTGCTATTCTAACCCTTAGTAGCAGCTTTTTAATATGGCTTCTATTTGCCTCCTCATTCCTTTTTTGTTTTTTAGTTAACTTTTGTCTCCTGTCCATTCACAGAGAATTTTCATTGGCTAAAAAAAAGATCTGTAAAAGATATTCAATTGTATGAACAAAAGTGTGTGGTTTTTTTTTTTTTTTTTGTGTAATTCTCCTCTACAGTGGAACATGTAGATTTGTCCTAACCAATACATTGTTTTATGCCATTAATGAACCTGTAAAGCCTAGTTAATTCAAATACATAAATCTGCAGATACTCTAAACAAATTATTTCAGTGTCTTCCTAAAGTGAGCTTTTTCCCTTTAAATGATTTATTATGTGTTTATGGTAGGGAAACTAAATAATAAGCTGAATAAATAAACACGCAGAGACATTTAAAGGGACACTACAGTCACCAGAACAACTACAGTTTAATGTAGCTCTTCTGATGTCTTTAGCATCCCTTCTGGCATTTTTAATGTAAATACTGCCTTTTGAAATGGTCTGGGTGCACTGTAGTTTTAGAGACACTGCAAAACATTGATTCAATGCTTTTCTGTGGGGAAGGCCTAATGCTCGTGTTGTGCTTGTTGCGCATGTGCACTAGGTGCCTCCTTGCGATGACATTGGAGGAGGCAAAGATGGAATAACATGATCTTTTAACCCCGTCTCACTGGAGGGCGTACTATTACGTCCTATTTTAGGCGTCTCTAAACGCCGCCGGGCGTAATAGTACACTTTTTTTTTACTTACCCGGTCGCCGTATCATGGGTTGGGGACTCCCAGGAGCCCCCGCACGCCCAACCTCCTGAAGTTTTCACTGGCCATGAGAGTGAGGTCCCTTGCGAGGACCTCACAATCACATGGCCGGGTTAGTTGGCAGCAGATCGCCAGCAGGGGGCTGCCTAGTCCCCTGCTGGCTGGAAATAAAATAAAATTAATGTTAATAAAGTGTAAAAAAAAAAAAAAATTAATAAAATATATATATATATATATATATATATACACACACACACACACACACTGTCTAGGTGTATTTTACTATTACTATATAATATCAAAATACACGTAGAACGAAATATATATATATATATATATATATATATATATAGAATTTTTTAAATTATAAATACACATACCGTATAAGCCGAGGCCCCTAATTTTACCACAAAAAACTGGGAAAACGTATTGACTCGAGTATAAGCCTAGGGTGAGAAATGCAGCAGCAGCTGCTGGTAAATTTCTAAATAAAATGACATTAATTGAATATTTATTTGCAGTGTGTGTGTGTGTGTGTGTATATAATGACACTGTAAGCAGAACGGAGCTGACAGGGGAGTTGCACAGAGGAGAAGGGAGCTGACAGGAGCTGCAGGAAGGTCAGTAAGAGCTCGCGGTCAGCCCCCCACTGAACAACCAATGCCACTGGACCACCCGGGATTCACATAGCCCCCCTCCCTTGCCAGGCAACAAGCAAAAAACTATTTAAAAAAATAAATAAAAAAAAATACAAAATATTAAAATATCAATATAATATAATAATAATATTAAAATTAAAATGCCCTCACCCAGTTTACACACACTGCATTATATACACACATATATATTAAAAAAGACTGGACATACCCCATTTGCAATACCTTGGGTTGTCTACTATTGCAAATGATATGCCATTATGGGTGTAAATTTAATTCCTGGGCTACTATACAGTCTCAAAAGCAACGTAACCAATCTGGCGAATTTCAATTTCAAATGTAACATGCTATATTTGATCCTGTAACTTCCCAAAACGCCATAAAACCTGTACATAGGGGGTACTGTTTTACACGTGAGACTTTGCTGAATACAAATATGTGTATTTTATTGCAGTAAAAGCAAACAGTATTCTGACATTGACAGTTAAAATGTCATGTAGAACTAAATTGTTTTAAAAAATCTTATTTTCTCCCATTTTTTTCATATTAAATTATGTTTCACAGCTAAGTATTTGATATTAAATGAAAGCCCCTTTTCCCCTGAATAAAATGATATATAATAAGGGTGGGTGCATTTACTATGAAAGAGTTGAATTACGGTTGGACAGACAGCGCAAATGCCAGGTTTTGTTTACATTTTGTTTTGTTCACAATGTGTACATTTGGCTCCGTCCTTAAGGGGTTAAAGGTTTTTTTTAACAAATATATATTTTATTGTTGCTATGATTATTTGTAGTTTATTGATATCTGGTGTGGATAACCAGGACATCATCTGATTCTATTGGCAAAATTGCTAGTGAAGAAAGCCATACTGGTGATTTTATTTTTGTGCCTATCTATGTGCAAATGGCAAAGGCTAATTGAGCATAAGAATATAATCAAAATTCTGCATTTGCTTGTATTCTCTGTCATGTCACCAAGTTATTTTTGCATGGTAAGTTCACCTTAAAGAGCAAATGGACTTCAAAAATACAAGCGATTTTAGTGACCAGACAGAGTCCATCTTTTCATATGTTGTATGATGCATGCCAATGTGACCATTTGTGGAGCTCAGTTATTCATTTTTATTCATGAAAGCTGCAATGTGACTGGTTGACTGCCTCAGGCAACTGCCTGCTATGTATATTGCTGTTCTGCCAGTCAGGCAGCATTTTTATTTTAAAGGGACAACTTCAAGCAGCTAAGCAGGATTTATGTGAACGCTGACAAAGACTTGGTATCTTACTTGTGTATTACAGCCAGCTCGGGTTTCAAACCAGTATTGGTAAATACGGCAGATCAAAACCGCCCTCCTGCCGCTATCCCCTGTGTGGCCGTGAGTAGGGACATGTCTACTAAACAGTAAGCAGCCTACTGGGTAACCATTGGCTGGTAGGTGAGAATTGTAAAAATAACCCCCCAATTGACGACCCAAGCCCCATTATTTTATTTATATATATATATATATATATATATATATATATATATATATATATATATATATATATATATATATATATATATATATATATATATATATTTTAAAAATCCATAAAGTCCCGTTGAACTAAGAAAATAAACCCAGATTGCATTTAAAAAAAAAATAAAATAAAAATCCAAGCAATAAAAAAGAATAAATTTTCACCCGGCAAGGGCTTCACACAGACTGGTCGTTTCAGAGCGGGGAAAGGCTTATAAATATTCCCCACACTGTGCAATTTGACTCAGAGTGCTCTTGCAGGTAAAGCTCAAAATTTACCCGTCCGAGCACTCTGGTTAACTTTTTGAAATTTGGTCAGAAAATCAGACAAGCGAATGCTCAAGTCTGTAATTGGGCATTAGAGATGTCGCGAACCGTCCGCAAACTTGCCACGAACCGTTCGTGGCGAACTCCGGTTAGCTGACACATCCCGGCCAATCTCCGGCAGACCCTCCCTCCCAGACCCTCCTACTTCCTGGACAGCATCCATGTTGAAGGCAGCTTCAACATGGATGCTGTCTGGGAGGGAGGGTCTGCCGGAGATTGGCCGGGATGTGTCAGCTGACCGGAGTTCGTGGCGAACCGTTCGCGAGAAGTTCGCGGACGGTTTGCGACATCTCTACTGGGCATGTGTGTGAATTTCACAGACTGAGCTAGTGTGGACAGATGAAGGCCCTGCAGGCCACGGTCATCTGAGAATGGTAAGATGGACATAGATCCTAAAAACAATTTAAAAAAGGTGAAATGTGTGGTTAAGGGGCATTTGGGTGTGACTAGGGGCACAATAAAATGTAGTAGTCTGATTGTAGTAGATTCTGAAGAAGGATCACCTCCTCCTAAGTTATTATATTTAGTGATTTCAGAACCTTTTCAGACACTTCCTTTTTATTTTTTTCACTTTTTTTGTTGCAGCCTTAGGCCTACAATGTTTTTAAATTAATTTTCTTCACTGTGGTTTAGACTTAATGCCCCGTAATGGGGAAAAAACAAACTGATTTTAAGAACCTGAAATATTGCATTGACAGAAGCAGGGTTCATAATTTCCAGTTGTCATTCGATATTTGCAAATGGAAATTTAGCCCTTGCAAGTAGAAATTCACCCCTCTTTATTATGCTATGGCTTATAGTGGTAAGTAACTCTAAAGGCCTGACTAGTAGCCTAGGACTTCAAATTTTAAGCTCTGATGTAAGTATTCAGACCATTGCTATGACACTTGAAATTTAGCTCGGATGCATCACATGCATCTTAATCATCTTTGATATGTTTCTACACTTTGAAGTCCACATGTGGCATATTCAATTGATTGGACATGATTTGGAAAGGCTCACAGCTGTAAATGCATGAGGTCAAAGTAACTGCCTGCAGGACAGGCAACAAATGTTAAGCTGCATTGAAAGTTCCCAAAAGCCCAGTGGTCTTCATAATTCTTAAAGGGGCTCTGTTACTGTATGGGGACTCTGCCAAATTCGCAAAGGCCTCCAATGCAATACAATACAAACAATTGTAGCATAAGGCTGTAAGATATTAAAAAAAAAAAAAAGGGTTTGAATACTTTCTGAACGCACTATAATTTTGTAATAAAGATAAATAAAATATTGCATTTACGTTATTACTCACCCTCTCTCCAGTGCTATTCTGCTGTGATTCCAGGTTTGTGGGTGTTACATTAGTTTAATACCCTCTCACTTGATGCCCCTGGTTCGGGAGATAGCAAAGTATGTCCCAAAGCCGGGTAAACTCCCTCCATCTACTATGTAGACGTGACCGGGTTATTGTTAGTGCATCATGTCATGAACTAGATTATTTCTATCAATCATCTTCCTCTTTAAAAAAGCTAGATTGTTTAGATTTTTTCCCCAGTAAGCTGGGTGCTGCATAGTGAAACTGGTTAATAATGTTAATTTTCCCGCATTGCCTCACATAGGGTTGTGTTTGTACTATGACCATTCAAACAAACATTAATATGCCTTTCACTCTGGATGCAATGTCTCTAACCAGCAGCACTCTCCGTTATTGGGTAACCTATTTTTGGATTGTTCACAGTAAAGCCGTTGTGGGTCTGTGCTATATATATATGTCAAGCTAATGATCGCTTTGCCTTCTTGTGAATGGAGGAGGGATTACTTGGTTAAATATTCTGCATTAAAAGCCACAGGAAATGTTGTTATGGCAACAGGAGAAATAATTTATTCAAAAAGGTCTACTGATCTGTAATCCAAATGGGACTGCAGGTGACAAAATTACATTTTCCATATTCAGTGGAAATGATCTTGAAAAATTAATGCAACGATATCCAGTTTTGGATTTTAAGGAACGAAATTGCTATTTTAAAATTAAGTTGAAGGGAGTTGCTGTAAACATTTAGTTTTAAATACATTCAGTGATGTATTGAGGCAAGTGGCGACTTGTCCTTGGTGAGTCAAAATGTAATGTACCACTGCCAGCTGTCATATTCCTTGCTGGAATATCTGCAAGGCTGTCTGAGATGTATAAGCACAAAACAAAATATCCCCACTAGATAAGCAAAATCACACATTTTATTTGTGTTTTATGTATGATATATATTCCTGAGAAAAGATTGGTTTCCATATAAATTCTTTCCGTTGTATGGTGAAACAAGGTCAATGGATGGGCCCCTGGATATTTGCCTCTGTTATGGGATAAAATGCTTACTTGGCCAAGGCAATGCCTTCTTGAATTCCTAATAAATGAGGACCAACCATGGTTCCTTCCAGTATCCTCCCTGTATAAGTGTTTGAGGGTTGGTGGCTCCCCATGGCTCTGTCTTCTTCTCATACATTGGACTGTGAGTTAAGTGGAGCTGACATATATGCCCTTCACTTGCATCTTATAGGTCACAAATAAATGGCTTCTAGTACAGAGTGGGGGTTTAGACTTGTAAATGGGGGGTGGGGGGGGGAGGGAGGCGTGCCAATACAGTGGTCCATGTATATATTTCTCCCCACTACCTGGCAGATGGTAGCCCAATATTACCATCTCAGTTACATAGCTGAAAAGAGACTTGCATCCATCAAGTTCAGCCTTCCTCACATATGTTTTTGCAACAAACTAGGAAAAAATTCCTTCTTGACCCCAAAATAGCAGTCCAATATCTCCTTGGATCAAGCAGCTATTACCCCACTAACTAGAAATTATATCCCTGTATGATATGTTTTTTGCAAGTATTTATCCAATTGCAGTTTAAACATCTGTTTGGACTCTGATAAAACCACCTTCAGGCAGAGAATTTCATATCCTTATTGCTCTTACTATAAAAAAAACCTTTTCTTTGCCTTAGATGAAATCTCCTTTCTTCCAGCCTAAATGTGTGACCTCATGTCCTATGTATAGCCCTGTTTATGACTAGATTTCCAGATAATTACTAACTGAATGTAAATAAAAGTCCCTCTGTCCACCGCAAATATGTATGTATCTATCTATCGAGGATAGATTAGGCGCTCTCTAAATAACCCAAAAAGTTGCAGGGCAGCAGTAAACCAGCAGGATTTCCCAATACCTGCTTGCAGTGTGATATGTAGAATAAGAAAGGTGGTAAACTGCGCCCAAAAGTGCAAAATAAATGTTATACATACATATAGAATTCTTACCATTGAACAAGATTTATATGTATGTATAACATTTATTTTGCACTTTTTGGCGCGGTTTACCACCTTTCTTATTCTACGTGTGTGTGTGTATATAATATTCATGGTGGGGTTTCTTCTCTAACATTACCCCTATAATAAATATAAAGATGTAATTTATTTTTTATATTGATTAATACCCTTTGTCCAAAAAAGTCCCTCATTTTTGATGCTTTCTGAAAATGTGACCATGTGATGACAAATCCTCATCTTTTGCATAAGGAATTAAAGTAGCACTCCAAACATCATAACGACTACAGACCGGTGTACAGGTTATGGTGTTAGGAGTCCCTGGCGCCATCCCTTGGTAAATTGTCAAGCTGTTTTTAGTACGATTGGACAGGTTACCTGGGAGCCTGTAGATGCATAATCTGCATCCAGGAGAATCCAGTTGGCTCTACAGCACTAAGCAAGACCGTGCTCATTGGCTGATAGTGCTCACAGTCAAAGAACCCGGTTTGCATCAGCCAGGCTTAACTTTGCAGGTACAACTGGCGTCTCCGAATACCGGATTGGGCATGGGCACATGGGAAACACAAGTCCATTTATCAACACGTACGAAAACAGCTTGATTACTTACCCTGCAAGGTGAGAGCACTGCTGTAACCACTACACAAGGATGTATTGGTTATTTATGGTGCTTGGGGTATTTATATAAAGGCTTACGTCAACCACCATAACCCCTTGTGGGATTTGTGAAAATATGTGTTGGGATCTGACAAGAACAAATTTCTGTTAAATCCCAGAGCAACGTATTTGTGTACGACATATTAACCTATGTGTTCATACGTAAACAGATGTTTTTGTTTTTGTTTTTTTTATCTCCTTATTTACAGCAAGCTCCCTTAGGCTTTGTTGTTCAAATCACAATTCACCATTGTGCTACTGCTTTAAAAAGTGAAGTATCGTGTTATTTTTTTGGGGGGGGGTAGGGGGGGCAGTTCAATAACATTGCACTGTAGCCGATCGGTTTAACAATTCTTAATATATAAAAGCAGGCTGTAACAAAGTTAGGCGCATTTGTCATAAATCTCTTGGAAATCTCAAAACTGACTTTTTAGGAAACTTGATTTAATTAATTTTTTATAACTCTGTGATTTAAAAAAAAAATTACACTATTTTGTTCTCTGCATGTACCCAAGAACACGGTTCTTCTACTCATGCACAAGAAAACACACCTTGCAATTTTTCAATAAATAAGCTAATAGTTTATTGTAATGCTTTATAATACAAAGCTTTATTTTGGTATGTAAGGCACAGACAAATAAATAATCATCACAATCTTTATAAACATATTATTTCGTTATTTATATAGCGCCAGCAAATTCCATAGCGCTGTACAATGGGTTTTATGTTGTACGTTTCCTAAATATTCCACTAGTTCCGTAGCAGGGTAGGTTCCATTCATTTTTATTCTTTCAGTCCAGACACAAAGATGTGCTGCTTCAGTGTAGTTTACTAACTGTATTGATCATTTCAAGTTCCAAAGAATTATTACATCTGTAACGGCTGCCCAGGTAGTAAGAGGGTATCAACCGTTGGAGACGTCCTTTTCTTCCCGGCAAGTTACTGTATAGTAATTGTCGCTTATTCCCATCCGCTGGATCCACGGCAGGAGTCAGGTAGAGCTCTTAAAAGAGCTAAGTGATTGTGCTGCATATTCCCTTTCAAGAACGAGACAAGGCTACGTTTTAAAGGGTCAAGAAGAACTGGCTTTTAATGGCAGGCACTCTCTTTTTATGTGATTTTGCCCATGCAAGGGAGACACCCACATAATTAACAAAAAACAAATAAAACATAAGGTACATCCCACACATCTCCTCCCCTCAGTTAAGCTTGTAACACAATTAACAGAGACACATTTTCCCCCAAGTTTTGGATGTACCTCAAATACTATTCTGGGGGACCAACATAGTAAAAATTCAGCTCATTCGGTTAAGCCGTTCGGGAGATATGGAGCTTTAAAGTTTTGACCGACCGCACTGGCAAAGTGGCCAAAAATAGTTCCATGAGTTTTGGCCTTTGTTCGTGTGTAACCTGACATTCACCAGAATCCCCATAGGCTATACGATTTCCCGGTGCTATGGAGGTCTCAGCGGTGTTCGCCTACTCGAGTGTCCGATTTTAGTTCCAGACACTCGACGGCAAAACACCGCTGTTCAGGAGCTAAGATGGCCGCGAACACGTGTAAGTCCCGAAATGGCGGCCACCCAGGCACTTCGCAAAGCGTTCGTGGGTTTTCTATGCGAAGGCACTTGTGGATCAGGGAGGTAAATTACCCATAAGTAGGGAGCAGGGTGGTCCGGTGTTCGGTAGTTTGCATTCGTATGATGAATGCTTCAAATGTCCCAAACTGATGCATAGTAAAATCCCCATAAAAGCAGGTTAGGCTCTTCCATTTGTTACAACATCAATTTCTGCCAGTATGATCTCTGTTAATTCACTTAAAATGACATGATAGAGGAGACACTGATGAGCTAAACCAGTGATGAATAACCAGGGTTCTTGTTGCTGGGACGTTTGTAATATTTTGCAGAAAATAATAAAATACATTTAAAAAAAAAAAAAAAAATCGAAATATTTGAAGTTGTACCTTGTAGAAAAGTTAGTAGGTTTAAAAGGGTGTTTAATTGCTTGATTCTGATTTCCACAAATACTGGTAGTTTTAAACTGCCCAGATCTACCTTAAAGGGACACTATAAGTACCAAGACAACCTATGCTTATTGCCTATGTCAGGGGTACGCAACCTTTTAGTAGTACTGTGCCAAGTCAAGGTCTTAAAGTACATTGGCGTTCCCGTCCTAATTTTTTTTTTTTTTTTTTTTTTTTAAATTGAGGTGTGTATGCTACCATATCCTGCTTGTGTTATAGGTGCTGCAGTTGTGTTGCAGTGTTTTATATGTGTATGTGGGCTGTTCTATTGTATATGTTCATTAGTAGTGTGTGTGTGTGATGCCTATGAATGGGGGCTGCTTGTGGAATTGTGTGTGTGTGTGTGTGTGTGTGTGGATGATATGTCACATTGTGTATTTGGCACTGTGTGTATGTATGGGGCTGCTTATGTTATTGCATATGAGAGGCTATTTGTGGGGTAGTGTGTATGTGGATTGTCTGTGGTGTTTGAGGTGACTTTGTGTGTTTGTGTTTGGGATGTTTTTGCATTTTTATGAGGGGAGGGTTATTCTGCAGCTCTGTGTTGATGTGGAATCCATAAATTAATTGATTATCTTGTGTATCTGCCCCCAGCCAAATTAAAGAAGTAGTGCGTGCACGCTCCTAAAGTAATTCACACCAGACACAGGTTTCGGGTTAATGAAAAACTTGAATGTTTATTCTGAGGGGACGGCATGTGCCTTATAAAGCAAAATTACATCATATGCATTGTCAGAGATAACATGGAATAATACATCAATAATTGGTTAGGTCTTTAGTGGTTCATTTATTGCTCTTCCTATTGGGTGTGATGTCATGGGTATCTTGGAGGTCTCCCCCAGATTCCAGCGCCATCTTGTTAGTGAGGGTGTTAGTCGATGTCAAAGGGAAACTCCCTAGCGGCCATTTTAGGTAAATCACATAGAAAGTTGAATAATGCTGAGTAAATAGGCATTTTACTAACATGGATTGGGTTAATAATTTTTGTCCACAACAGTGTATATCTAGCAGTGTGAGTGGCTTCCCTGGGGTTCAGTGGGGCCTAGGCTGGCCAAGTACAGGTCAAGGGCAAGAGCTGTGATAGCCGCTGAGGGCTGCTCTATTCTAGTATCGATTCCTATTCACACATGCTGAGCGGATGGGATCTGAGATCACTTCATCTGTGTGCTGCAATGCATAACTTGAGTATTGTCTCTTACTACATTTTAACACTAGCAGATATCTAAAGTTTGACTAAGACTCCTGATAGGCCAGGGCCTATTTTTTGGCTCTAGCAGTTTGGAGTGCCGTGCCATAGATTGCTGACCCCTGTCCTATGTTCTAATGGAATTAAATTTTCAAAGAACAATCCCTCCCCCCCCCCCCATATTTCAAATATATTATCTTTTTTAGTACTTTACATGATGGATGTGAACCCCCCATTTTGTAATGTCCTTTTAAAGATTATAGATTGCTCATTTATTCCCACGAATGAAGTCTTGAGAAATAATGAAATGGTGTGAAACAGCTATAAAATTAACATGGGGATAGAGGACAGGAAACCTGGCAACTCTTGGATGAATAACTTGTCTTGGTAATAACCCAGCAGTAACCGATTGGCACTTTCTCTCTATATCAAGGTTGAGAAACACAGATGTATAGTAGTTGTGTGATTCTGGGTGAAATTAGTTATTTTAATATGTTGTCTCAGGTACTCCAGTGAAGTCCATATACTGATCCAATCGCTAAATCTGATTAACAAATATGATACTGTAGTTGCATGAAATAGACCATAAAGATAATTTGGTCATTTCCACATCTTTTTTTTTCCTTGATTACTGAAAATTAGCCAAAACGTCCGAACACATTCGTATTTCAATCTCCTTTGACCATTTCATCTTCTCTTGCTGTTTGACTTGTATTTGGTCACAATTGGTAGAGCAGGTTTACAATTTAATGCATGCACAGTACAAATAAATAGCAATGCAAAAATATCATTTGTTTGCAGAGGTTTTTACTGCCTTGAGGGCCACAACTTTCTTATATAATGCTAGACCACATTCACACTAAATCGAGTTATACATCATAGTACATGGGTGTCCTATAATAACATTAAAAAAGGAACAGTTCCTCTTGCTGTCATTTTAATGCTTTCCATTCACAATTTTTATTCGTTTCCCAATGGGCTAATGTCCCATACGTAGCACACCTACAATCGGCTTTTTCTGCCTGACCAGTGTAATTGTATTGACACATCTGAAAGAATGTGTTTTGCACTTGCTGAGGTTTAGGACTTGGCAGGGGATGTTCTTGTCATATTATGTGTGCGATCAGTCCTTTAAGTGTCATAAGCAAGAACTTGGTTTTCTCAATCAGTGTGCTTTGTTTCTTTCTCATAATGTGTTTTGCCACGTGAATAAGGGCACTTTGTGACTACATGCTGTTCATTAAGTCCGTTATCTAGCGGGCCGAGTGATGAGCACACTATTGCTCAAAGTCTCTTCGTATTCCTAGGTCCAAATAAGATATATCCTGAATTTGCAACACGTTCAGTGTAGCCTTTTTGTCCTTCTCAGGTCGATTTTTTTTTTTTTTTCTCATTTATCTTTTTTATTAATGCATAAAGAATTACCAGATTTTACTAATTACATGACGTAAAGTCATGATTTTATAAAGGACACGGAGGCGAGTATTAGGCTTTATCTCTTTCTTTATTCCTCAGCAGCAAAGAAAGGATATTGATATTTTTAATATAGCAATAACAAAAAGATAAAACAAATACCCTTAAGGGTTAACCATATAACATTCCATATCCATTAACCAATAGGATCAGTCCTTGTACTATATCCCTTCATGTGAGGTAAACTACTTCCTCTTTCTGGCTGACGCCGAAGCTGAACACATCAACAAGGGAAAAAAATTTTTTCTCAAACTTGGGTAATCTTTCGTAGGGGTTCCGGCGAATGTTCCAAATAATGTCGAGATAGTGGACGATCCCGGTTATGTCATCACAGGGTTAAGCTGTAGGAGACAGAGAGATATATGGTAAAATATATTCGAATATCGTTGTCATGCATATATGTTGTACCGGTCCTTAGACAAACGTTTATATCTGAAAAACATTGCTTGCGACATTCTAGCATAAATCAGTCTAAATTGCAGTTACTACCTTATAACTTAGATTCTAAACATCCAAAATGCCATAACTTGTTTATGAGCGAGTGGGTGGGAAAAAATGCATGTACGGCTTACCTTTCAGTGGGCGGGCTAATACTCGCCTCCGTGTGACTTTACGTCATGTAATTAGTAAAATCTGGTAATTTTATTAAAGGACACGGAGGCTCTTATTAGGCTAGTTTAAAGCTGTGATATGACCCTAGATGAGATATGTTCTGTTGGTCTAAAGTAGTATTCCTTGAACGTCGATTCTCGGGACCAGTCAGCTGTGCGGAGGAGGTCTTCCAGTTTACATCCAATGGAGAATGCTTTAGAGGCCATAGCGCCTCTGGTAGAGTGTGCTCCGTAAGCGGCCGTGTCGATGTTAGCATTTGACATTATCCATTTCACCCAACGTGTCAGAGTTCCCGTGGATACTGGTTGATGAGGTTTCCTCACTGCCAAGAATAAATTATGTGTGTTTGGGTTCCGGAATGGCTGGGTCCGTAATTCATATTCCTGCAGGCATGCTACCGGGCAGAGGTTAGCGTTGTGAGGAAAGGAGGGATAGAAGACTGAAGTGGTGTTCGACTTTGTACGTCTGGTGATATTAAACAGGACACCATCCGGTGTGAATGATCGTGCATCGATATCCAAGGCCCTCACGTCTGATACCCGTTTGCAGGAAATTAAGCATAGAAGCATCGCCAATTTTGCAGACACTTGTTTGAGTGTTAGGTTCGAGTTTGGGGCCAATCTTGCAACAAACGAAGGACCATATTCACATCCCATAGGGCCGTGTAACGAGGTTGTGGCGGACGTGCAAATTTTATGCCCCGTAGGAGACGACAGATCCATAAGTGCTTCCCAGCCGGGAAACCTTCCCAACCAGTGTGCCCAGCTGAAATCGCTGACCTGTAGACATTTATGGTGCGATAAGCCAAGCCTTGATCATAAAGGGTAGTAAGGAAACCCAAAACCTGGTTTATAGGAGCACGTATGGGATCCACGTGCCGTTCCACGCACCAACTACACCATGTGTTCCAGGCATGGGCATAGGAACGTCTTGTCCCTGGGGCCCAAGCTCCTGCCAATAAGTCCAAAGTTGCTTGTGAAACATTCGGCATGGTCCAGGGTCCCCGGAGAGGAGCCATGTGAGGAGTCTGAGATGACCTTGCACCAGAAGTGGATGAGAGTTCCCATCGGGGTCTGATAATAATTCCGTGCTCCCTGGAATCAATCTGGGGAGGTCGATTGACATTTCCATGAGCGAAGGGAACCATGGCTGTGCTGTCCAGAACGGTGTTATCAAAACCAACGAAGCTCGGGAGCGCTGTAAGTGTAGGAGAGTTCGCGCTATGAGTGAGAAAGGGGGGAAGGCGTATAGCCTGGTGTTCGGCCAATTTTGTAGGAAGGCATCCACTGCCGTGGCGTCTGGGTCCGGTCTCCAGCTGAAGAATGAGGGGAGTTGAGCATTCAGTCGGGAGGCAAAAAGGTCGATGTGCATCGGTCCCCAGAGTTGGTGGAGCTTCTGGAATACTGTGCGATTCAATCGCCATGCACTGTTGTCTCGTAAATGCCTGGAGTGCCAATCCGCTACGGTGTTGGAGAGGCCTGGGAGGTATTCCGCCTGTACGGATATGTTGCGACTCAGGCAGAAATGCCAGAATTCTTTCGCCAAGTTCGTGAGGGTTGAGGACCTTGTGCCACCCAAGTGGTTGATGTAGCGGACGGCTGAGACATTGTCCATGCGCAGGAGTATGGAACAATTGGTCGTGTGTCCGAGGAGGCTCCGTAGGGCGAATGACCCAGCCAGGAGTTCCAAACCATTGATGTGGAGTTCTTTTTCTTCGGAAGACCATTTTCCACCTGTAGAGGTAGGACCACAGCGGGCCCCCCATCCCAGTCTGCTCGCGTCGGATTCTATGACTAGATCCGGAGTGGCGCCGAAGATTGCCTTGCCGTTCCATGCTTCCATGTGTTGAAGCCACCATGCCAGTTCCTCTTTTGCCGCGCAGTCTAGAGGTACAGAATCTGAATAGGAGTGACCCAAGCGTAGGTGAGTTGCCTTGAGTTGTTGTAGGGATCTGTAGTGGAGAGGGCCTGGGAAGATCGCTTGTATAGAGGCCGAGAGCAGGCCAATTATCCTGGCTAGCTGTCGGAGGGTTAAGACTGGTCGAGTCAACGTCCTCCGGATTTCCTTCTTGATAAGTTTTACTTTCGCGGTAGGAAGACTGAGCGTTCCGTGTACTGCGTCTATATCGAAGCCCAAAAACTCTATCGAGTGTGAAGGTTGTAGGATCGATTTGTCCCAATTGATTAGGAAACCTAGGTTTTGCAAAAGGGTCACTGTCCAGAATAGGTGTTGATTCAGTAGCTGTGTGTCTTGAGCCATGATCAGCATGTCGTCGAGGTATATGATCAGACGTACACCTCTGCTGCGAAGGAGGGCAACTACCGGTTTCAGCAGCTTGGTGAAGCACCACGGGGCTGAAGACAGGCCGAAAGGGAGGCAGCGGAAACGCCACATCGTCTGTTCCCATTGGAATTGCAGTAATTGCTGACAGTCCTCGGCAATCGGTATTGTGAGGTATGCATCCTGGAGGTCCAACTTTACCATCCAGTCTCCCAGTCTTAGTAGGTCTCGGAGGCAGTGTATTCCTTCCATCTTGAAGTGATGGTATGTGACAAAGGCGTTGAGAGGCCGCAAGTTTATTACTGGCCTCGTGCCTCCACCTTTCTTGGGTACTAGGAAGATGTTGCTTAGGAACCCGGGGGCGGTAATGGGAACCCTGTATATCGCACATTTTTCCTCCAGTGTGCGAATCTCTTTTAACACTAGCTGTTTGTCTAGTGGGGAAAAAACAATCCGATGTGGCAATGAGAGTTGAATCGGCTGTTGTGTAAATTCGATGTGATAGCCGAGGATGGTCTCTAGGACCCATGTATCTGAGGTTAGGTTGTGCCACGCATCCTGGAAATGAAACAATCTGCCCCCCACAGGTACAAAGGGAAAGGTGCGTAATGTGGAGTGACTCACCATAAGGCCGACGGCCATAGGAGGATCCCCTGGTTCCGCGTGGATGCCATGATCTGCCCCTGGTCGGGAAGAATGGTGATTGTGCCCTCGGTTCGGGTGGGTGGAACCGTGGTGTGGCGGAGCCTCGATAGCCCCGGAACTGAGTCCGGGAGGGGCGGCCGGACAGACGGCCCCGCTGTCTGCCGGCCCCCCCGAAAACCTTTTGCGAGAACACTCGCTTCATATTATGTTGTGCCTTATCTAGTGCCGTAAATGTGTTTACGTAATTACCCAGGGTCTTAACAAAATTGTCTCCGAATAAGAGACCTTTTGCCTGTGTTCCAGGCTCAGAGATTGCCAAATGCACTAGTTTTGGCTCGATTTTCATCAATATGGCTTTACGCCTTTCTGTGGCCAAAGCGGTGTTGGCATTTCCTATTAGGCATATGCCCCTCTGAATCCAGCCTCTGATGGCCATCAAGTCAATTGGGGTCCCCCCAGTAAGGGCCGCTTCGACCATATCGAAGATTTTAGCTATAGGCCCGAGTATGTCCAGGATCTTGTCCTGGCAGTGTTTTAAGGAGTAGTCCAAACCCTTCTTGGCCCTCCAACCTGACTTACCCAGGAATTGGGCGACCTTGGGATCCACTTCAGGGGTCACGCAAGCCATGTCTGGGACAGTGGGCCTTGGGCATTCCGCCCTCAGTTTGCTTCTTGTGGCCTTGTCGAGGGGTTTTCTGACCCTAGTCGCAATATAAACGGCCACATGAGTTGTGGGGTACCACTCCGCTGAACGCGGATTATGCAAGGTGTCGGGATCAAAAAGGGGTTCCCCTTGGGGGTCTAATACAGCGGACTCATCCGTCTCGCGCTCCGCGTCTAAAGCTGGGTGTCGCTGCGTTCGGGGGACGAATTGTCTGAATTAATTGGGTCGATGTCATCGGACCCATCTGATACCTCCTCTGAGTCCGAGTCGGAGTCGGACGGATCAGATAGGGCTTTTGCCCTCTTCCAAGTCCGCACCGTTTTTGCCCGGCGGGGGGCTCTTTTACGTGGGAGCACCACGTCATCAATTTCAACAGGGCGCAACCTGTCCGTCTTACTGGTTCTGGAGGTAGCACCTGACAGATGGTGCGATTTGCACGTAGCCTTGCGGCCGCTAGGGACCATTGGCTTATCAGTGGATATAGGGGGTGCAGAGCCCGGGTTGTGGCTGGATGCCCTAATAGCAGAGGAGATAGAGTGGGACAGGGTGTCCGACATCGCCCCCATGGTGGTAAAAATGGCCTGTGTAACAGACTTACTCATCGTAGCATCCAGGAGCGCCTGGAACTCCTCTGAGTTCACGTGCTCCTGGGATGCGTCCCCAACTCCCCCAGTGACAGCAGCGTCTGTAGACAGGGCTGTCTTATCATGTTTGCTGGGTTTCTGAGAGGTGGGAGGGGGGGTAACCGTCTGTTTACTAGCAGGAGACTGCATAGTGATCAGGGTGTTGCACAGTAATAGTAGAGGGAGAAAGGCACTAAAATAAAAACTGTCACTATTGGACAAATGCACACTGGCAGCACTGCAGAGGTTTGTATACCAGCAGTATAGGGCAAGTGGCTGAGCACTAGACTGAATAGCAAGGGCAAGCACAGTTATAAAAGGCACATGTAATATGGCACATATAATATGGCAGCTTACCGAGTGTTCCCTCAGGAATGACTCCTGGGGGACACTGGTAAGCTGCCCAACACCTCCCTCAGCCAATCAGCCCGCGCCCCTCCCTGCTAGAGTGGCGCGGACCGCGGGCGAAAAGAGCGGCAAAACTGCCCACACTTAAGATGGCCGCCGCGATGCGCGAGAGTGGACCGCGCATGCGCGAGCGACGGAAATGGCCGCCAAAGTAACAGCCGCCCGTCTGGCGGCGAAACGGCTCGTTCTGGGCCGGGGAGGTGAGGGGGGGGTGGGGGTGGGGATTCCTGAGCGACCCCCACCCGGGGAAGTGGAAAGGAGGAACGGGTTATAAACAACCCGAAACGGCAGTGCAGGATGGGGCTTGCCTCATTGAAGAGGCAAGTACCCTGCACTGGGAACAGGCTTAAAGAACAAAACACCAGCAATATACAGAAATTTTTTTTTTAAATAACAGACAAAACAAAAAGCAGATATAAAAAGAGAACAGTATAAAGATAATAATATGAATCAGGAGAAACTGAAAAAAAAAACACAATATTTTGTGGAGCTGAAAAATATGTGGTACTTAGCTGAGGCAGCAGCAAAGAAAGAGTAAGTGGTTTACCTCACATGAAGGGATATAGTACAAGGACTGATCCTATTGGTTAATGGATATGGAATGTTATATGGTTAACCCTTAAGGGTATTTGTTTTATCTTTTTGTTATTGCTATATTAAAAAATATCAATATCCTTTCTTTGCTGCTGAGGAATAAAGAAAGAGATAAAGCCTAATAAGAGCCTCCGTGTCCTTTAATAAAATCAAACATTTTGCAGCGCAGTGCAATTTTGACATGCCAAACCAGTCACAGGCGCAGCTGTGGATATCATGTTTTAAAAGATTTACCCCACATGTGGGTAGAAACAGCTGCTGTGTTACACATCTGTTGTACTAGCTGCTTTGCAATAGTTTTTTAACTTTTAACTAGAGGATAAGAATGGGGTACAGAAGAAAAAGGGAGGGGGTAAGGGGGGGTGCCCTGGGCAATAGATATTGCAGTTTTCAGTTCATTGTTGTATGTATCCCTGTGTGTGTCCTTGTTTCCCCTGGTCAGCCTTTTAACTCTCGACCGGCCAGCTACTCCATTCTCTGTCATATCTCTCACTACAGCCGTTTGCTCTGCATGCCATTTTCTCATATTGACTGATCAGATCCATTCTGTTAATGATATTGGGTATAGCTGGTGTTTGATTGCTCTTCCAGCTACCTGCCAACATTATTTTTGCTACTGTGAGTATGTTGAGAATTACCTTTCTGTGTGGGTGGGAGGCAATACCGGGTGCTATGTGGAGAATGTAGTGTTCTGGTTTCAAGGGTAGGGTGAATCCTGTCCTATCTAGTATGAGGGAGTGAACTTTTTCCCAATAGTCTGTTAGAAGGGGACAGGCCCAGAAAATATGGATTATGGATCCCTCACTGATGTTGCACCTCCAGCATTTCCCGGACGTGCCCGGGTACATGTATGCTAGTCTTTTTGGTACTAGATACCACCGCATTAAAACCTTGCAGTATGCTTCCCAGAACGTAAGGCTTTGCGAAGCCCGTTTTGTGACTTTCAAAGCTGTCAGCCAGTCTGCCCTGGGGATCTGGAGACCCAGGTCCCCTTCCCACTGTGTCATGTATGACAGCTTATCAGGGACTGTCGCGGTGATCAGTGCTTTATAGCACGCTGACAGTGGCTTTACATGCCTGGTGGTGAGTAACTGTGTCATTGGTAGGCGGGGAGTGAAGGAGCGACTGGTGAGTTCGCGGATATGCGAGTGTATTATATTTTTTACTCTGAGATATAGAAAGATATCCCTCACTGGCAAACATAGGTCTTTTTGCAACTCTGGAAATAGCTTAACCTTGTCCCCTACTAAGATATCCCGGACCTTATGTGCACCTCCCTCCCTCCATCGATCCAGCTTCAGGTCAGGGGAGAGTATTTCTAATGATGTCAGGGGTGCTGATTGGAAGAGCGATTTGGAGTCTGCTATGTATGGGCTCCATTTATTCCAGGCCATTAGTAAAAACTTTGTGCTCTGCAGCTGTTTTCCCCTCGCCACTCGTGTATGCCCCCCCGCCCATAGATAACTTGACAGATCGTGGGTATTCAGACAGGCACTCTCCATTGCAAACCATATGGGGCGACGGAGTGTGCAAGTGGGGCGCAGTAGACAGAGACCCTGTGCTAGAGCGGTTGCCCTGTAGTAAGCCTTAATGTCTGGCATATTCAGTCCCCCGTCCGTGCTCGAGAGCCCTAGAGTACCTTTTGCTACTCTCGGGGGCTTCCGCTTCCATACATGTGCGTTTATGGTGCTTTGATAGTTTTAGTAATTTGGTCGGTAGCGCGATGGGTAGGGTTCTGAATAGGTACAAAATGTGCGGTAAGACCATCATTTTCACAAGATTGATTCGGCCTAACCAGGACACTTCAAGACCCTCCCATTTTTCTAGTGTGAGTTTAAGTTTCTGAATGACCGGATGATGGTTTTCCCTTGTAATGGTTTGGATGGATTTCGTAAGTTTGATCCCTAGGTATTGTAGGGAGTCCTTTCGCCAATCGAATGAGTGTTGTGATTGTAGTGTCGTGACAGTGGTACTTGGCAGATTTATGTGCAGAGCTTGTGTTTTCAGGGAGTTGTTTCTGTAGTAAGATACCTGCCTGTATGTGTCAAGTCTATGTAGGAATTGTGGTAAAGAAGATTCTGGGTGTGTTATAAACACTAAAACATCGTCTGCAAATAATGCCAGTTTCTGTGTGCCACCAGGTGTTTGGAGACCCTGTATCGCCGAGTCGCTTTTAATGAGGCGAATCAAGGGTTCCAGGCTCAGTATGAAAATGAGGGGTGAGAGGGGGCATCCCTGCCTCGTACCATTCCTGATCTCTATTTGGTTGGATACGAAGCCTGTGCTGAACACTCTGGCTGTTGGGTGTCGGTATAGGGCAAGGATGCTTGCCAGAATTTTTGGGGTAAACCCCATTTTGGATAGTGTCAATGACATGTAGTCCCAGTGGAGGCGATCAAAGGCCTTTTCGGCGTCCAGCGCCAAAATCAGGCCGGACTGAGACGTTAGGTTTGCCCAATCTATAAGGTTCATAAAATGTCGTGTGTTGTCCCCTACCTGTCTCCCTGGTACGAAACCCGCTTGTTCTGCGGAAATAAGATCCGGAAGCATCGATTTAAGCCTCGTTGCAATCAATTTGGCATACAATTTTGTGTCTGCGTTCAGAAGGGAAATCGGGCGTAAATTAGCACAGTGGGTGGGGGGTTTGTTTGGTTTGGGCAGCGTTACAATGAAGGCTTCCAGCATTTCCTTGGGTATTATCCCAGAATCTTTTATGTTATTAAAGAGTTTGGTGAGGGGGGTGACCAGTTGTGGGGAGAGTTTTATGTAATAATAGTTTGATAAACCATCTGGGCCAGGGGCTTTGTGTTTGGGTAGGGTCTTGATGGCGTTCTCTACTTCTTCCTCTGAGAAGGGTTCTTCCAGAGAGGAGCATTGTGCGTAAGTCAGGCATGGAAGCTCAACTTGGTCAATGAAGCGCTCTATTTCCGATATGTTTGGTTGATATGTGCTATGGTCATTGACTAATTGATAGAGGGATTCATAGTACCTTGCTAATTCATTGACAATGTCTTGGGGATTATATAATTTTGCTCCTCGCTCCGAGGTAATGTAGGGAATTTTTGTTTGCATTTTGGTTTGGTGGACCTTTCTAGCCAGAAGCTTTCCCGCCTTGTTTCCCATGGTGTAGTATGATTGCTTAAGGAACCGCATTTTCTTTTCCGTTTCTATTAGCTGAAGTGAGTTAAGTTTTGCTCTGATTCCTGCTACTTTTTCGTGTGTGTTGCTTGTGGGATTCCGTTTATGTGCCTCTTCATTTGCAATTAAGTCTTGTTCTAATTGTAGTTTATCGTTGTTATGTTGCTTTTTTGCCCTCGCCCCTAATTGAATTATACCACCCCTTAAGACTGACTTGTGGGCTACCCATTGGGTTGTTATTGACGTCTGGCAATTTGCGTGGTTCTTAAAGTAATCCTCTGCCTGGGCCCGTATTTGGATAAGATATTCAGGAATGTCGTTGAGACGCCACGTACCTCGTCCCCTTGCCGGGTATGGGATCTTAATTGTTACAATTTGTGGAGCGTGATCGGACCACGTGATCGGTCCAATGTGTACACTGAGCGCAAAAGGTAGCGTTTTAATGTCAAGGAGACATAGATCTATTCTGGTGTGTGTCATATGAACGGGCGAGCAATAGGTGAAGTCTCTCTCTTGTGGGTATAAATTTCGCCACGTGTCATAATAATCGTGTTCGTGTATGAGTTTGCTTAAATGTTGGCCTAAGGCCAAGGAGGCTGGTTTTGGCGGTTCATTGTTTGCCCGTCTGATGTCTAGGGAGGGGTCGGGAGAGCAGTTAAAGTCCCCGCAAATTATGGTATGGCCCTCTCTGTGTTGTGCTATTATTCGGAAGGCCATATTTAAAAAGGTTTTCTGCGAGTCATTCGGTGCATATAGGGAGACTATGGTCATTTTTAAGCCATTCAGTGATCCCACCAAGATCAGTAGCCTCCCATCCCTTCTGGTGTATTGTTTGGAGAGGGCGAACGCCCAGTCATTATGGAAATATAAGGCTATTCCCCTGGATTTAGTCGGAGCTAAGGCGTGGTAGCATTGATTATAGTGTTTAACATTGAATTTCGGTGGATTCCGGGCGCAAAAGTGTGTTTCCTGCAAACACACTATTGCTGCTTTAGCCTTAGTCATTTCCTGTGCCGCCATTCTGCGCTTGTGGGGACTATTGAGGCCTTTCACATTCAGGGTTAAGATTTTCATAGCATTAGCCATTCTAATCTCTTTGTAGGATGCCTATATGGTGCGTACGTATTCGAGTGGCTGTGTTCAGCGCCTATCTTTAGTATTGCCCAGAGGTGGGGAAAGAGAGGGACGTCTGGGGTTAACAACAATAACCAAAATAGGTATAACAAAATGAAGTATGTACATAGCGCCATTCGTTTTTTCAGCGCTTTACCTGAATTGAGTGCGAGCCGGGCAAACGGTCCCGTCTCTGCTCTCAAGTCCTAGGGGAGCGTTTGACGAAGAGAGGACAGCATTTACGACCTCTGTCAGGACTATGTGAACCGCCTTTTTTGCAGGAGTGTTCTGCCCCTGTGATGCGGAAAATAAAAGTACCTGGCCCTTTGGATGTTTGAGGGTGTACCTTCTAGGCAATACGTCTATCTAATCTTTGCTTTCTACCGTCTAAGTCCACCTATCCGTTTGTGTGGGTGACTGGAACTTTCTTTTGTTCTGCTGATCCCCGGCTCACAATGTACTCATCCCCGAAAACCTTAGATTTCTCCCTCCTCAACCTGACTTTGTCTCAAATAGGTAATGCTAGCACTGTCGTGTTGAAGCACTAAACATGTGTGCATATGCATTATACTCACAACACCTTGTCAGTTCGTTTTGCAAAAAGCAATTAGGACAGTCACTATGAGACACCATCACAGTCTTAGTTGGAAGGGCCCAGTGGACTTTTAAGGTAGAGAGGGTGATCCCGCCATCTGCCATTCTCTCTGTGGCCGGCCTGGCGATGCTGTCGGCGTTTTTTCTGGGGAGCGTAACGGAAAAAGGCCCCATTCCTTTAGAAGCCGCATGCCCACCTCCGGTTCGTGTGCTGTATGTGATCTTCCGTTCCTCCAGACAATGATTTTGGTCGGATATCCCCAGCGATATTGAATATTGTTGTTCGTCAGTGTTTTTGTGACTGTTACAAACTCTCGTCTCCTGCTCATGGTCATGGCCGAGAGATCTGCGTATAGTTGGACATTTTCATATGGTGTAGGCAGATTTGTTCCTTTCCTAGCCGCCGCCAGTACTGCGTCCTTTGTTTTGAAGTAGTGGAAACGCACAACTATGTCTCGCTGCGTATCTGGTGTTAGCCGTTGGGGCCTCGGCAGGCGGTGCGCCCGGTCCATAAGCCATTCTGCTTCTGGTACTGTTGGGACCAGGGATTTGCATATGGTCATTATGCTCTCTGCGAGGTTATCATTTGTAACGGATTCCGGAATTCCTCGGAACCTGACGTTGTTTCGCCTTGAGCGATCTTCCATGTCGGCCATCTTCTTTTTAAGGGACATGTGTTCTTCAGTTAGATTCTGTACAGCTGTCGCCAGTGTGTCATGTGCTGAGCATAGCTTGTCTTGTCTGGCTTCCAGGCTATTGGTTCTCTCTCCCAATTCTGATATTTCCTTTTTGATATCATTAGTAGCCTGTCTCAGATCTTTTTGCAGCGTTAACCTGAAGTCCTGCAGCATGGAGAAAAGCTTTCTGTCTGTAACTGGGGCGTCTGTATAGTTGCCTGCCTCATGATCCTGTTCTTGTGTGGAATCTGAGGTTTGGGATAGCGCGGGTCCGTCGCCGCCATCTTGAATGGACCGGGATCTGTCTTTTTTTTTGTTGGCGGATTGGATCTGTGAGCTTCATTTGTTTGGCAGGGGCCATCACAGCAGTAGGAGGTCTGTACCTTTATTTGTGCCGTTTTTCGAGCGGTTTGCTTCGTGGTATCAGGCTTAGAGGTCTTATGCCGCCGGGAGCTCTCACGCCATGCGGCCGCTCACTTCAGCCGTCCGCCCCGCCCCCTCCTCAGGTCGATTTTTTTAAAAAGTGCCATTGAGTTGGGTAGTAACAAACCTCCTACATTCTTAATTTGGATTTGCTGCCACACCATCCTAGGTTTTTTTTTCAGGTGTTTCATCTTCTGGTGACAACAGACAAAATTCCCCAAAACTGGTAGCCCACAACTCCATTACAAAACATCCAATAACCAATATGTAAAAACAAAGGGCAGTCAGCAAGAGCTCTCTCTTCTACCGTAGGATGCCCTTGGTATATAGCCTATTTGTGCTAGTCTTTGATCTCCCATGAAGACCAGGGAGACACATTCTCATTACCAGGTTCAATTTCTGTGTTGCCATAGCAACTTGGCATCCTGGATTTGTTAGGTCTTGATTACAGATCTGTAGATGTGTTATTTTCCTGTAGGGTCTGTTGAAACTTGTTTTGAATTTTTATTTTATTTATTGCTTGCTTGTGCAAGTACAAGGTGTATGTATGCTGCATGGTTGCAGAGCCCAAGTCTGAACAGCTAATGAATATTGGTTTAGGCAGCTGGAACAACAGCTTATAAAAATAGGTCAGTGTTCTTTGCTGCGATCAACTGTATTTCTGATTTATTTATTTTTTGTATGTGATTGTGTTTCACCATATTTCACTGTGCTGTTTGAGAACAGTGGTAACCTAAAAACCTGACCCATAAGGCTATTGGAATGCACTATGGTAGGTACCGTATTTTTCGCTCCATAAGACGCACCTCACCATAAGACGCACCTAGTTTTTAGAGGAGGAAACCCAGAAAAAAAAATATTCTGAACAATGTGTTTCTTACTATGGGACAGTTTGTTCAGAATATTTTTTTTTCTCCCCTGTCCCATAATGATCTTTAACCCCCCTTTCCTCTGTCCCATAGTGTTCTTTAACCCCTCCTCCCCTTGTCCCATAGTGTTCTTTAATCCCTCCTCCCCTTGTCCATTAGTGTTCTGATCCCATAGTGTCCCCCCCTCCCATTGTCCCATAGTGCACTTTCCCTCCCAGAGTGTCTCCCCCTCCCCTTGTCCCAGAGTGTCTCCCCCTCCCCTTGTCCCAGAGTGTCTCCCCCTCCCCTTGTCCCATAATTACTTACCTGTCTTGGAGCGTGGGCCGGCTTCACAGCGCGCTCCGCGGTCCAGGAACTTCTATTTCAGGTTCGCCCATGCTCCAAGACAGGTAAGTAAAGCTTTACATTCGCTCCATAAGACGCACAGACATCTCCCCTCACTTTTGAGGGGAAAAAAAGTGCGTCTTATGGAGCGAAAAATACGGTAGTTAATCCTTTGCGTGTCTGTACACCTTTACAGTTTATTTATTTTTCCCTCACTTTTTTAAAGGGTACTGTCCCTTTCAGGATTTTTTTTTAATACTATGTGTTTATTCATTGGGGTATATCTTAAAAGACCTTGCAAAAGCTGCAGTTCTTATGTATTGCAGTCTGAATCTGCGCGCGTGCCTGGTGTGAGGTGTGGAGGAGCGTTAGATGCAGGTCTGAAGTCTGTTTGGGAGGAGGCAAGCACGTTGTAGTAGAGCGCACCTGCCACTTCCCCCTCCCCCACCCCCCTTTTAGGTACAGGAGGGGGACTTTCCCTGGGGTCCACTGGTGGCTCAGGCTGGTGGGAGTCAGAGTTTCCACCAAGTTTAAGTTCGTTAAACTAATTTGCATATGCCCACCCAGAATCCTTCACGGTAGTAAGCAAGTCTTATGACTTGACTGGTGTGCACGGACATAGGAACCAGGGGGGGGGGGGGCAGGGACAGGTAATGGAGCAATATACATTTGTCATATATCGTTTTGCAGAGGCAGCAGACAGTGGAGCAATAACCATTGAACTTACATTGCATGTTCTCTGCACACTTCTCCTGCTCAGGGCCGGTGCTACCATAAGACTGCAGAGGTGGCCGCCATAGGGTGTGCTGGCCTGGGGGCGCAAATGTCCGGGTGATTTGTAGGAGGGAAGCGCACAGCGCTCCTCTACTGCCGGTTATTTCTTGTAGTGTGGTCGAGCGCCTGTAGCTCGACTGTCTGGCATCAGAGTGGGGTGGGGGGGGGGGGCATTAGGGACCCATAATATTGTTCCTATACACTCACAATACTGCCCCTGTCCCATTGTTCCTATCCCCCCCCCCCCATAACTCATAATACTGCCCATGACCCTCAATACTGTCCCTAACCACCCACAAAACTGTCCCTGTCCCCCAATACTGTCTCGTTCCCCTAACCTACATCAATGCTGCACTAACCACCATAGAATACGGCCCCTAATATTAATCATATCCCCCACCATAGCCCCAGTCCTCCACAATACTGTTCCTATCCACCCCCCCACCACAGCCCAAGTCTCCCACAATACTGCCTCTACCCCGCACTTAGCCCCAATCCCCAACAATACTGTTCCCATCTCCTCACTAAGGCCCCAATCCCCTGAAATACTTCCCTGTCCTACCACACTAGAGAATCAATCTGCCACAATACAGCCCCCATCACCATCAGATTAAAGCCCCAATCCCCCACATTACTGCCCCTAGTATTAATGTTCTATTTATTTTGTGCAAGTGTTTAAAAAAAAAAAAAAAAAAATGTATTTATACAAGATCGTTTGTTTTGTTAAAATCAGGCAATAGTGTATTACCAGTGGTTTTAAGTGGAGTAACTTAAATATATATGCCAAATTTTTGGTTAATTTCTGTGATCTGATAAAGAACTGTTAAATTAAAAAAAATTAAATAAACAATGTGTTTATATATATATATATATATATATATATATATACATATACATTTTCTTCATTTTTGTAGTGCATTGCGGGGATAACAGCGTATTAAAGACATTTCAGGACAACACATTAGAAAATATCAGTATTCAAAGCTTACGCATGTCTGAGTTACTGCACTTTTTAAAAAGTTATAATAGTAGGTAACAGTAAGCATGGTAGATAGGGGTAGTAGAGCAAAACAATGACAGGGATTCAATCCATGCTAGTTAGGATGTTGTAATAGTAATACTGTTGAATTGTGGCCTTAGTGAAATATGAGTCCATAATCAGTGGCTTTGCCTCAATTACTATGGAAACAGGCCTGTGTTTAGAGTCCCGATCAGCCCATGCCTGTTCTGGCCGGCACATAGCCCCCTGGTAGATCCTGTAGCCAAAGAGCCAGCGGCCCAGACCGAGATGTACCAGTAAGTCAAACAGGGTACCTCCAGGTTGGAAGGTCCATTTGCTGTGGCGCCATTCCTGCGCTAGATACCTCTGAATCGTGCACGGCTGCCCCCAGAGGGGAGAGTATCCCCAGGCAGGCACTGCGGTTCAGAGAATTTAGTGGATCGGCTGCCTCCCCCGCGCCACTTCAAGTAGGCCGCAGTTCCGCCACTGGTGAGAACCACCACGTTCAAACTTGAAGTGGCTAGTTAAGTAGCTTAATTCACGGGTTAACACCTATGCCCTCGGAGCTCAGTTGAGATGCGTCCGATCGGCCAGGTGCTCGGGGGGCCCAGCCCCCCATTTTTAATGTGACTGGTTTGTTGTGAGAAATTTCACACACTTAAAATGTAACATTATAAATAACTTTCTAGTATACTGAATAAGAATATACCCAGCGAGTAAGAAAGCTACCTCTTCCAGATTTGTTGGGGTTCCTACGCCCATGCTGGTGTGCAGATCTTTGTTTAACTTTGTATTATCCACATACTTCAGGTGGAAGGGGTTTTCAATCACAGTTTTTCCTTCACCACAACCTTTTTATTATGTGTGTGTGTGTGTGTGTGTGTGTGTATATATATGTATGTGTGTGTGTGTGTGTGTGTGTGTGTGTATATGTATGTATATATATAATATATACTCACACACACACACATCTTCCATTTGCCATTAGCAAGTGAAAATTTAGCCATGTAAAGTAGAAATCCATCCCTGGAGAGTATGCTATGGCTTGCAGTAGAGTTTAGGTGAGATGAGCCGTGGTACAGCAGGATGCTATATAACCCCAGTGCGATTTCAGGCACTGGTGTTGCGAATTATGTCTTACTAAATTTTCCCAATTCACATCCTAAATCATTTGCTTTTTATGATTCATGTTAACCTAAATTATAGACTCGGTTTTTTTTTTTCGTAGATATTTCTTCTGGCTTGTCCACCCTGCAAGCTGTCCACAGTGGTATTCAGGTAAGATTTGATCCCAAATTATTTCACTTATCGTTCTCATTGTACATTGCAAAAATAATGGTCATTTGCAGAATACTGTGAGATATACATAATACAGATTTAGTATTAAGGAAGAAAATCTTAATTAAACAGAACTTGCAATAAAGAAAGCATAAATAGGGCTCTCTTTACAGGAAGTGTTTATGGAAGGCTGTGTAAGTCACATGCAGGGAGGTGTGACTAGGGTTCATAAACAAAGGGATTTTTTTTTTTATTCTTTATTTTTGCTGTGCAGGTGGGTACAAGGAATCAACAGACGCCACAACAGCTTATTGCAAGATATACAATGGTTAAACAGTGGCATGAGAGTCTGCACAATTTTATATTTTTAGCAAGCTTGGCTAAACAGTTAAATAGTTAGCGTGAAGTTACATAAAATACAGCGAGATAGTTGATGCTTAACCTGTCTAAATCGGCATTTGTGCTAGGCATATATGGGAGAAACAAAACAGTGAGCATATTTTTGCCATTAAAACAGAAGCTAAGGTTAGCATCAAGAACAGATTTCTTTAAGCTTAATTAAGTTTAACCACCAGGGGGCAGCAGAGCGTCGGACACACATGCAGGCTCAGACATTTTGATTACTTTCTAACTGCAGGAAGAGAGTCCAATGCAAAAGACACATTAAAATTGTGGATGAGGTGCTGGATTAAGAGGTACACCATAGTCTGTTATCTCTGTAGGCATATGTGGTTGGAAGCCTTGATCCCTCTTGCAGCTGTGCCAGATCTGTGCTTGTAGCTGGTTGTTTTAGTGTGCAGGGGGGCTTGACAGTTAGCAGTGGAGTGAAGCTTGTCCCCCATTTTCGTTGTTACCTTGTACTCAGGCAGAGTCAGAGTCCAGAGAGAGTCCCCTTATATCCACTGGTATTAATGGGAGGTGATGCCACTGTTGGTGTGAGGGTTATTATGCTGAGCTGGGCTTGCTTGTGGAGTATACCCCTCATGCTGGTATCCTGTGGGTGGAAGGAGCACTCAGTCTGTCTGCCGTTGCTTTGGTACTTCCCCCTCACTTCTCCGACTCACAATGAGCGCGGCAGCCATCTTGGATTTTCCATGCGGTCCCCAGTCAGTCCTCCTGCAGCCTGTGTGCCCTGAACGAGCGCTTCGTCCCCGGTGGGGTCCGGGATAACCCCCCCGGCCTACAGGGGGGGTAACGGGGCCCTTAGCAGGCGGCGGGAGGTCCCGCCGGACCAAGCACGGGAGATCGGCCGCCTCTCCCGCCAGGGCCTCACAGCAGGCCGCAATCCCACTCGCCCACCAGACCGCATCGCCAGCAGAGTGGGGGCTGGTACTTGCCCCGAAGGTTGGTGGTCGGGTCCCCTTTGTCCTCCCACAGCAGCTGAGGGTTTTCCAGGCGAGTAGGGGCATTTTGGAGCTGGCTATTGCGGGTTTGTCAGGGAGCTGAGGTGCCCCATGTCCACTCAGCTCGGCGGCCAGGCCCCGCCCCCCCTTAAACAAAGGGATTTAACTCCTAAATGGCAGAGGATTGAGCAGTGAGGTTGCAGGGGCATGTTCTATACACCAAAACTGCTTCATTAAGCTCAAGTTGTTCAGGTGACTATAGTGTCCCTTTAACGTTGCACTACAGCAACCCAATCACCTCTGCTTCTTACATGTATGGTGCAGAGAGATCATCTCTTCATTTACCCTATGGTCGATTGCTTATAAAGCAATTTTTCAAACATTTTTACTATATTAATGATATAATGGTGGCATTAAAAAAATAAATAAAAAGTAACCCCCCACCCCTTCTCCATCCACCTAATAACTCTCCCTCCACCTCCTCTTTCCATTTCTTTTCTATAACCCCCCCTTCAATACTAACCTCCCCACAAAATGCCTGAGGCATGTAATATGCATTACTTATGTACATAACGACAACAAGCAATACTGAAATGTCTAATTTAAATGTAACCAGAACCCATCAACCTATGTTTAGTCATGAAGAATGTACTAAAGGTACACACGCGATTGTAATGTATCCACGTCTTAATAAAAATTGCCAAAAAAGTTACACTGTTGAATTTGACCGTTAAGAGTAAAACATATTAGTGAAATGGTTACACTGTTGAATTTGACCGTTAAGAGTAAAACATATTAGTGAAATGGTTGAAGGGCAGTACTGTCAGTTTGTCACTGGTATGTAAAATATTCACATATTGATCTAAGATCAAATAATTTTGTATTCCTCTTTCCTTGGAAGGTTGCAAATGCACATGTTGAATGGGGCCCTTCTTGCTCTGCTGTTCCCTGTGCTGAATACTCGACTGGTGAGTAAGTCCAACATGCTGTTAATCTGACAAGTGTACTACATTCCCTAACTGATATGTAATGCATTTACTGGAACATTATTAGAACTGAATTAATTAATTTATTCCTTTTTTGAAAAGACCGTAAGTTGTCTTTCACAAATTCTAGTAGTCATTATTTATTTATTTTTTTTCCTTCTTCTCTGGCAGCTCAAGGTAGTGTTGGTTTTTCTTCAATATATATATTAACTTGAGAACAAAACCCATTGCCTTGCTATGAAAAATGTGCTGTAAAATTAAATTTGTCTGATTTTTTTTTTTAATTTCAAGTATTGTGAATCAAAAACACAGATTTATATATAATTGGACATTAGAGAATGATGTAGTTAATATGATGCAAAGGGTCTGTGCAGGTCTTTCCCCTCCTAACCCTAAGCTTCTATCAATCTGTTTTGGAGCGGTTTTGACAAAAACTGGTTCTGCTGGTGCCTAACGCCTAATCCATATTCTGGCATCTGACCCAAATGGAGAAGTGAAGCTGGTAGTAACTGGGTAAGCTCCAGGTTGTATTACATTTCTACAAGCTAGTTTGATGCAAACTCAGATGTTGCACCCGCTGACTGTTTGCACCATAACCACTGTAATGAGCTGTAGTATATATGATGTTTAGTGTGCTCTTTAAAAAGTAAAACTACTTTCATTTTTCTTATTATTTACATTCCTTGCCTGCTTGCTAATGAGACTTCTTCCTTATCTCCTTTTATGGCTTTACTGTAGAAGTAAAGAGGAGAATGTAGTACAATATGCATTCAGACGAATACATTTAGTTTACTCCTGTGTAATTACTTCCAGTATAAATGACATTGCTCAAGGTGAAAGAGAGTGGCATTTAACAGCTAATCACATGATCTAAAGCTATTTTTATGGCAATTTTATTGCACAGTTAAATAGAATATTTTCTTGTTTGTGTAACCGAGATACATGTATCAGTAAGAACTGTTTTCATGTGGTTTGTTCTGTAAAATGGACCTTATGAGGCTGTTTGGGTGGTATTTTAAACATACACATGGTGATTTTTATTTTATTTTTTATTTTTCCTTTTTAAAATTTATATTGATAAAATCCTTCTAAAAATAAAAAAAGAATCCCAGTACTTTTTCTATAACCAGAACATATGTCACTTTACCATATTTTAGGAAGCAGGAGTTCCCAAATAAGTTTTAGAACTACATGTTTTTAATGATAATTTTGTCATTTTTAAAGCAAATAATCATGTAAAATAGTTTTACATTATATTCTAATCAAATTTAGGGCAGCCACCCCAGCCCCAATAAAAAAAAAAACTTTTTTATGTTCTAGTTCTGTGTAGCCGTCAAATCTATAGACTCATGGGGTTTTCACCATGAACCTCATAACCTTGCTGTACAATTTAACTTTCTTCTATTGCATAAGATTATAAGCAGAGAGCTTGTGTTCTTGTAACATAATTTAAAATAAAAATAAAGTTGGTTTTCTTTGGTATACAGTATTTTTTTCATCTGCTGGTATATCCTATTGTCCCCCAACCTCCTGTTAGGATTGGCCCTGATTTAGACTGCTTCCCCCCAAAGCTTGGCTTCATTACATTTGTAACTTACACCAGGATATATTTTTTATTTTATTAAAATATATTTATTAATATTTTACTCCCCCTGAAGCTCCGAGCCCAACCACGCTCTATACACACACACAACTGTACCTGTACATAAATAGAAACACAGACCTTATACATATACGTATACTACAGCCTCTAGATACATTATAGATGCACGCACACACACACACACACACACACACACACCTCTCTTTCTCTCCCTCTCTTTCTCTCCCTCTCTTTCTCTCCCTCTCTTTCTCCCCCTCTCTTTCTCCCCCTCTCTTTCTCTCCCCCTCTCTTTCTCTCCCCCTCTCTTTCTCTCCCCTCTCTCTCTTCTCTCTCTCCCTCTCTTTCTCTCCCCCTCTCTTTCTCCCCCCCTCTCTCTCCCCTCTCTCTCCTCCCTCTCTCTCCCCCTCTCTCTCTCCCCTCTCTCCCTCTCTCCCCTCTCTCTCTCCCCTCTCTCTCTCCCCTCTCTCTCTCCCCCCTCTCTCCCCCTCTCTCTCTCCCTCTCCCCCCTCTCTCTCTCCCCTCTCTCTCTCCCCTCTCTCTCTCCCCTCTCTCTCCCCCTCTCTTTCTCTCCCCCTCTCTTTCTCTCCCTCTCTTTCTCTCCCCTCTCTCTCTCCCCTCTCTCTCTCTCCCCTCTCTCTCTCTCCCCCCTCTCTCTCTCTCCTCTCTCTCTCTCCCCCCTCTCTCTCTCCCCCCCTCTCTCTCTCTCCCCTCTCTCTCTCCCCTCTCTCTTTTTACGATGGTGTAATCTTCTTCTGTTAATTTCCTCTATTTTCTCTCAGTATAAGCAGTTGTTCTTCAGTGTGGCAACAATCACGATTAGTTAGACTATCACCATGTCATAGTTACACATATTGTACTGTAGTTTATCTGACATTGGCTACAGACTGGTTCAAATGACAATGTGATAGCCATAGGAAAAAAATGATAGGCAAAATATTGGTATCCAGCCTTTTTTTTATTTATTTTTTTAATTGGATAATATGCTCATTAACGCCATTAGAGCGTAATATGCCGCCGTGCAAAAGCAGGGCTTTAACGCCATTAGGGCGGCCTAGCACACCCCAACAATCATACCCTGCAGGGAGCTTGGATACTTAGCATCCACGGCGCTCCTGATCGGGGGGAGCTGCCGGACAACCCAGGCATTTGCTCAATGGCAAATCTGACCCTTCCTGGCCATGTGATCATGATGTCAGGCAGACATTATATTTAATTTTTTTTTTAATTTAAACAATTTTTTTTAAAAAAGTAATATATAAACACGCAAATATATAATTTCATTCTAAGTGCATTTTGATATCAATATAGGTCATTATAGATGTCCCTTAAATACTGTATTCTTTGCCATAGAATTAGGTCACTGCCTCATTGTTTCCAGTTACAGTTGTGTCTTTATTTCTAAATAAACACTTTCACAAAAAACAACAATGCTTAATTCAGCCCCATCACATAAAGTGAGTTATGCTTTCTTGGAACAAACTGACCCCCAGATTAAAATAGAATGTAACGAAACACTGCTGGATTATTCTTAAAAATAAATATTTTTCTCAAAGAATAAAGAAATTGTATAGGACACTGTACAGACCTAATACAACGCAAAAATCAGAACCAAACGACCATGAATGAAGCCTTGTGTTGGATGCTATTTTTGTTATTTTGTTCTTAACACAATGGCAAAAAATTAAGAGATCATGTTAGATTGCCATGCAATCAACCTATTGAAAAGGTGTTTGACCTCAAATACAGCTTAGCTATGCACACAATGTATTTGTTGAAAGTTAATACTACCTTTTTAAATCCCTTTGTTTATTTTGATTAAACATGTGCATAGATAGACATGCAACATGTACAAATATATTGTTAAACTAAAATAAACTTGCGCAATATGTCAAACAAAGTCATTTGGATTTTACATTGCCAAATTGCTAGGAAATTTTAACTATAAAAGTCCAGGTTTAAAAAAAAATAAAAAAAATAAAAAAAAATTTTTTATTACTGTGACTTCCTTGGTTTTTGCAGTAATGCCAGCATTGCTGTAAAAGTTGCATTAATGAGTGCGGCGGGCTGTTCAAGGAGTGGTGGCATTCTGCAACTGCTTGCATGTACTTGCTGGCTATGGATTGTGAGTTGTAGATTGTGTCCTAAAGAAAAGGGGTGACAGCATGGCATCCTTCAGCAGATGCAGTATGTAGAGGAAACTGGTATAGGGCAATCTTTGGGTAAGTAAATCTGTAAATATATAGATTTCTGACAGCTTTTATAAAATGTGTAATTCAATATATTTATGCCTCAATGTGAATTGGGCATTATCACAATTGGTGGTTGACAGGTTCACTTTATCCCGAATTTGTAGAGAATGGGCAAGTTTGCCACATTTCCCATTGTAGTAAATGACCTTTGTTATTCAGTAATGTGGGGAGATACTAGCCACAAATCTCAAATGGGACATTAATCTATCTGTGAGTTTATATTGAGTTAAACAGATTGGGTCTACATTCTTCTGCAAATCACAGTTTGTAGATTTGTAGCAAGACCTGCTTATAGATCCGATAAAGTGCCTCTAATATATTCCATTACAGGTTCACCGTCCAGTTATATCAGCTTATATTAAAAAATGTTTTCTTGTTCTTCATGATATTTTTCAACATATGAGAAGGACATTTGCATTGAGAAAGGGCTGCTGCCTGAAACATTTGCTGCTTTAACTTTGTCCTCTAATAAAGCACCTGGGAGCTCACACCATACTGGATGCGCAGTACTCTTGTTTGTTTTTTGGCTGTTGTATATACACTGTTGGGACTTCCGTGTGGAGTTTCTGCAGTACAGGTCTAATTTTCTTTGTTTATACTTTGAATACTGTAGGCATTTTTTGCCTCTACGTCACCCTATATATAATGAACATATGAGCAGGAAAGGAAAATGATCGGCAAATCTGAAGGAGGAAACCCAGGGCAGAGATGTGGAAGGAGAAAGATCAAGTTTGAAACCTTCTTGCAGAAATTCTAGTATAACCGTTTAAAGTTAGAAAATGTTTGGGATCAAATTTTCCTGAAACCACGACAGGAATGTATTAATTTCCTTTTGTTTGGATTTTCCAAAGGCTTCTTGTGAACAGATATTACACACTTTTGTCCTGCACCCGCCAGGAAGTGACGTGGCACATTCTGCACAAATTAAATGTTTGTTTTTGCTAGTTGCTTTAAATTTTGCTGGGGGTGGCTGCATCTTTTCTACCTTTTCCTTTTTTTGAGGTGATGTTGTGCTAGACCTCTGTAAAACATATTTGAGGCAGGTCTAAGTAACTAGAAATTACCGCCAGAAGAAGTAAATAATCCAAACCTTAACTGGCCCAGGCTTTCCTGTTGTGAAAAACTCATCGGTTGTCAAACCGGTATAAACAATCTTTAAATATCCTGGGCCTTTAAATGTATGCACCAGGAGCCGGTGTTCTGTCTGCACATGCTCCGTAGTGTATTTGGAAACGCATCGCCCAACCTGCACTGTCGCAGTGCCTGTAACTTGATTGTTAGCCTACCAAAGCATCATCCTGTGAGCGTTAGAAATAAATTGCAGAGCGTTCCTGTACTCTGTAATGGAACACCACAGCAAACTGAGTCTAGTAAGCACTTGTCTGGTTCTGAGGTAATTCCTATGTCACAGCCCAAAGGAGGAGGGATTTCTAATGTGTTTAAATTCGGGATTATTCTAGCTTTAGTGACTGAATAATCTAAATTTTATTAAAGACAGGAGGCGAATATTTGCTTTAACCTTCTTTACTGAACCTCCCAGCAGCAAAGAAATAGTTAAACATATAGAGAAAAAATCAACCAATCAGGACACATATTAGAACATAACAGTCTGTCAGGCTCCTCCCAAATCCTCTTTCTGATGCAGCCGATCATAAGTGTAGTCAACCGTGTAAACTTGAGTAATCCATCAACCATGTAAACCAGAACGCAGCCGATACTAGAGACCAAAGGAACGTAGTCTTCGTGGCTCATGTAGAGAAACTTCACACTAAAAGACAGAGAAAGATCGTGAAAGTATGGTCACTTGGACTGGGTGTCCGCAAGATATCTACATTTACAGATCTACCCCCTGGATATTACGAGTATAACTATTGCAAAATTTAAAATAATCAGAACCAGGCAGATTGATAAGCACCTAAACAGAGCAAACAAGAAAAACAGTCAGATAAATATAAAGTCTCACAAGAAACCTAGAAAAATTTTTAAGAGTACATGTGATCTGAAAAAAATCTGGGTGGGAGAGCAATAGGGTGGGAAAATATTCGCCTCCTGTCTTTAATAAAATTTAGATTATTCAGTCACTAAAGCTAGAATAATCCCGAATTTTATGGCAAGACAGGAGGCTTCATATTTGCTGTTTTAAAGCGTGGAAACCAAAGAAAAAGAAGCATGGGACGATTGTCGAAAATAGAAGGTACGGAAGGTAGATTCTCTAGACCAATCAGCGCATTTTAGGATGTCTGCAAGGGATCCCCCAGCTATAAAGGCAGAAGAGGCAGCAGTGCCTCTGACAGAATGAGCGCCAAAAGATGAATCTATGCCCGCTGAATCTAGAAGCCATTTAATCCGGCGGGCAATCGTGGGACAAGACACTGGCTTGTGTGGTCGCACATATGAGATAAACAGGGGGCCCGTAGGGGGACGTAGAGGTGATGTAGAGGCGACGTAGTGTTGGACACAACGAGCAACGCAAAGCGATGGTCTGTCGGAAAAATAAAGGTAAGTAATCGTTAAGGAATTAGTTTTAGTGCGCGAGAAATGTTGAAACATACACCTTGGGGCGTGAATTCAATAGCGTGAAAGTCAAATGCCTGAATATCAGAGACTCTCCTAAAAGAAACCAAGCAGAGGAGAAAAGCTAATTTGGCCGACAGTTGTCGTAAAGAGAGTGCTTCATTGGGTGGCCAAGTCTCTAGGAAGGACAAAACAAGAGCAACATCCCAAAAATGAGAATATTTTGGGACAGGAGGTCGAGCAAGACGAATGCAATGCAACAGTCTACAGATGGAGGGGTGTTTACCTATTGCTGTATTATCAATGGGGCCATGAGCTGCCGAAATTGCTGAACGAAACACAATGGATCTGTAGGATTTACCTTGATCAAAAAGAGAGGACAGAAAGTTCATGACGTTAATCAAAGAAGCTGAAACGGGATCAATACACCTTTCCAAGCACCAGCGATGCCAAACTCGCCAGGCTGAGAGGTAAGAGCGTCTAGTCCCGGGGGCCCATGAGTCCCATAAGAGTGCTCTAGCAGTCTCCGAAAGTCCTGCGGCATTCCAGGATCCCCTGAAACAGTCCAGGCCACTAGCTGGAGATGACCCTGCAACGTAAGAGGGTGAAAATTGCCTGCGGGATCTTTGAGAAGATCGTGCGTGGCAGGTAGCAGTAGTGGATAATTCACCGACATCTCCAAGAGATTGGGGAACCATGGCTGGGTATGCCACAAAGGGGTCAGCAGTGTTATTGTGGCCCCCTGAGTCCTGAGATGATGGAGAGTGCGAAGGATCATGGAGAACGGAGGGAAGGCATAAGCGCCGGTCATTGGCCAAGATTGAAGGAAGGCGTCTACTGCCAGAGAGGTCGGATCCGGCAACCAACTGAAAAAAGTGTCCGTCTGTCGGTTCAGACGAGATGCAAATAGGTCGATATTGAATGGACCCCGAAGAAGATGGAGACGGTAAAAAACGTGTGGGTCCAATTGCCAGTCGCTGGAGTCTCTCCAGTGTCGAGAGAACCAATCTGCGACTAAGTTGTCGGAACCCGGTAGATACTCCGCTCGCAGGGAGATGTTCCTGTCCAGACAAAATTGGTATAGTTCTTTTGTGAGGTCTGAGAGCATTTTGGAACGGGATCCCGCTAAACGATTCACGTATTGAACAGCTGAGATGTTGTCCATTCTCCGTACTAGGGAACAATTGTAGGAGTCCTTTGAGAAACTGCGAATCGCAAAGGACCCGGCAATCAACTCGAGGCAATTGATGTGCAATGCCCGTTCTGATGGAGACCAAGGACCTCCGGTAGAGAGATTTGCGCATGATGCACCCCAGCCTAGAAGACTGGCATCTGATTCTAGGATGTAATCTGGCTGTGATCCAAAGATCGCTCTCCCATTCCATGCTTCCATATGGTGTAGCCACCAGTTCAATTCGAGTCGGACTTCGTCTGTCAAGGAGATCTGTTGATCGTAAGATGCAGAGTGACGTCGAGTCTTCAGACGTTGCATTGCTCGGTAATGTAAAGGAGCTGGGAAGATCGCCTGAATTGAGGCGGAGAGTAGTCCGATTATGCGAGCTAAGTCGCGAAGGCGGATAGTCGAAGAGGCTAGAATTTTTCTGATGTCTTTTTTGATGTTCTTGATCTTTACTGAAGGGAGTTGTAGGATAGCCAAAACGGAATGTATTTGGAATCCCAGGAATTGAACCACCTGAGATGGGGTGAGGATGGATTTTTGGACATTGATCACGAACCCCAAGTTTTGTAACAGAGCTGTGGTCATGTCTGTATGGAGGCGTAGAGTGCCTGGGTCCCGAGCCATAAGGAGGATATCGTCCAGATATATGATGGAGCGAATCCCTTGGGAGCGTAGCAAGGCCATGACTGGTTTCATCAGCTTGGTGAAACACCAGGGTGCGGAACAGAGTCCGAAGGGAAGGCATGTGAACTGCCATAAGTCTTGATGTCATTTGAACTGTAGGAAACAGCGATGGGCCGGTGTTATAGGAACCGTGAGGTAAGCATCTGTCAAGTCTAAACGGGAGAACCAGTCTCCCTCGCAGAGTAGGTCTCGAAGGAGGTGGATACCCTCCATTTTGAAATGTTGGTAAACAATAAAAGTGTTTAGGTCTTTCAGGTTGATAACTGGTCGAAAGTCCCCTGACTGTTTTCGGACCAGAAATATGTTGCTTATGAATCTGTGAGGGGACCGAGAAAGTTCTATAGCGCCCTTGGCGACAAGGTCGTTTAGCGCGGCCTCCAAAGTCGCATTGTCCTCTTGAGACATGTGCAGAGGTGGAGGGGGGAACTCTTGTAGAGGGTCGTTTGCAAAATCTATATGGAAACCAGATACAGTTTGAAGGATCCATGGATCCTGAGTTAATAGAGACCACTGTTGGGAAAAAAAAGGGTTAGCCGACCTGCAATAGGAACTTGAGAATAAGGAAAGTCGATTACCTGAAGCAGTGCGGCCCCGGAGGGAAGCATATCCACGTCCTCTGATGGAACGTCTAGAGGGAAAGAACTGCTTGTGGTAGAAACGGGTATTGCCCGAATTCCATGAGTCTGCTGGTTGAGGCCTGTAGCCTGTGAAGGCAGCTCTGCCAGTCGTTCGGCCCCTATAGCGACCAGCTCTCCCGCACCATGTGTGCGTCAAAATTGCCTCCTGCTAGCGTCTCATCAGCAATTATAAAAATCTGGATAAGCGGGCCTGCTATATCCATCAGCTTGTCCTGGGTGGCTTTTAAGCCAACTTCGATTCCCTTGCGGGGATCTTTACCCGTCTTAGTTAGAAAAGTGACCAGGAGTGGGTCAAGTTCAGGGGTGACAGCCACCTTATCAGGGATCATAGGCCGTGGACATTCTGCTCTTAATTTGGCCCTAATCTCCTTTTCTAAGGGTTTACGAAGCCATAATCTGCAATATTTTGCAATGTGATCAGGGGGTGTCCATTCCGCTGAACGAGGGTGTCTGATGCAGCGTGGGTCAAATAGAGGACAACCATTGGTATCCAGTAGGATATCGTCCTTAGTATTGTCTAAATTAGTAGTGGACATAGGGTCAGTGTCCTGAAAGGACTGGGTTTGGGGTAGGAGGAAAGTCTCTGTAACAAATTCAGAAGAGGAAGGGTCACCTGGGAGATCCTCCTCTGGATACGCATTGTATTCGTCTATCACTCGTAGGTGATAGCCAGAGGTTGAGTCCTTTAAGAGGTCAGATTCTGAGGTCAAAGTGCGTTTGGCATGAGACAATTTAGCTGTCTTTGCTGGGGCTTTGCCTTTGCCAGCAGAAGCACTGTTACCCTTCCACGGGCATTTACGTGGGGCTTCGTCATGGTCAGAGACCCTGGAATCATCAGAGTCTGACAATTGCGAGATGGTGGCAGTAGTGGCTGTCTGGTCACTAAATGCTGCCAAGGCTTTGGGGATAGAGTCTGCAATTGCAGCTTGAAGCCAGGCTTTTAATTCTGCTGACATTGCAGGTTCTGTTTGGTCCGACATGATGACCAGTAAAATAGTAGTGGGTTCACCACAGAATCAGTATACCAAAAGGTATATTAAACAACTTTTATATAAATTTTTTTTTTATTTTTTTTTTTTTAATTTTTTTTATTATATATATTAACAAACTTTACACAAAACAAGTAAAAGCAGGGGCTGTCTTATTGGGGTTCACCCAGATAATATGCAGTGACCTTTAAGGGGACCAAGTGGGGTTCATCCACAATTATGGCAGTTAAACTGTCAATATAATAATGACAGGGGTAACCTGTGCAAATCAATAAAATATATAAGGGGTTCACCCTGAGAGATAAGGCACGAGGGGGTCACCCTCAAAAAAGAGGCAAGAGGGGGTCACCCTCTAATAGGCATAGAGCTGTATAGTATAGTTTGAGAGCAATCTGCAAATAAAAACACAAATAGGCTAATATAAGCAAGTGTTCTGTGTAATATTCAGATGTAATAACAAAATATACCAGCAGGGGGCAATGAAACTTACCGTCTAACAGAGCTGCAATCCAGTAGCTGTTCACCGAAAAAGCGCGCGAACAGAAACTAACCCGCCGAACAGAAGATGGCCGCCGGCATAGAAGGAGGAAGGTGGGAAACTGCGTGTCAATCAAATGACGTGAAAAAACGGGCGGTACGGAAATAGATCGCGGGCGTGATTAAAACGGACCGCAGCCACAGCAGTGGCGCGGTCTGAAGATAATTTCACCAAGGAAAAGGTTATTAAGGTTTTACTACAAAAAAACCCAGTCAGTCATAAATAAAAAGCACAGGGAAGGGACTGAACAGTGGGCTGACCTGTGAAAAGGTTTATGTGGTACAGATAAAATAAACACACCATTCCCTGTCTCTTTTATTTCCATGAGGTAAAGTTAATTAAAGGAGTCAAAAAATATATGGAAAAAAACAATATAAGGCAGGTCAATAATATATATATATTAGAGAGCTATAATTGGAATAGACTCACCTGGGAGGCAAGCAGCAAAGAAAGAGGATTTGGGAGGAGCCTGACAGACTGTTATGTTCTAATATGTGTCCTGATTGGTTGATTTTTTCTCTATATGTTTAACTATTTCTTTGCTGCTGGGAGGTTCAGTAAAGAAGGTTAAAGCAAATATGAAGCCTCCTGTCTTGCCATAAAATTCATAGGAGGCCTACTTGTCCCAATTGTACCTGAACAACCCTCACTTAATGCCGCGGCACGAAGGGAAAATACTGCATTGTTGCTGTAAGATTTTTATTCATGTCCTTATGTCAGGTGATATTTTCTGTGTAAATTGAATTATTATTTTTTAATTATTCATAATCTGTTATGTTATACACATTAGACTGTATTGTTGAATTTAGTTGGTGTAATCCTATAATTGTCCTTACTGATAGAGCAATCTATAATTCCTCATTAATGCTTAGTGCCATCACGTGGTCAAAAATTCTACTTTGTTTAAACTATAAAACGTGAGAATTGGGATGGTTTCCAGGAAGCTGCAAAAGTGCAGATGATTCTAAACTAATTTAAAGTAAGCAGGAAGGTGATTCACTGGAAAGAATGAGCAGTATGTAAAATGCTGTTAACCTGCCTGAGTTTAAACTGCAGATTTGGAGGACATGGATTCATGTAACATTCGTAATATTGGTCACAGTTTGTTCTACAAATTCTTTTTTCTGAATTCTGATAGAAATCAGCTGTCTGCTCTCAGTTTATGAATGCAACTCGACACTAGCCAGCCTGGAACTATTGTTCCAGTGACACAGCCGGAGGTGGATTAACAACTCTGACAACAAAGTGGTTGAACTCCGTATGTTCAGCGTTTCATAGCAAAATGCTGCACATACATACTCCGCACCATGACCACTTCAAATCACTGAAGACGTCTTGGTGCTTGGAGTATCATTTTCAGAAAATCTGTCACATTATTTTTACACTTTTTTTTTTTTTTGGCACAAATAAACTCACGTTTTTCTCTTCTGTATTTAATTAAACAAGATTGTGTATGAGACTTAAAATAAATGTGCCACACATGCATGCGCAATACAGCTGCTAGAGTATTAATCTATTCGCTGTGAATGAATGCAGATTAGTCATACTGTGCTACACAGTACCTGATGTTGCTGGACTAGGACCAGGACTCCATGTTAGGGATAAAGCAGGTTTATGGAGTTGTCAGGTGGACCTGACGTGCCTTGGCTCTACTCAGGGTTACTTTTTTTTTATTTATTTACGTGTGTGTGTGTGTGTGTGTGGTGTCTTGGATGGATTCACTGGCATGAGTACATGCTCCCATCTGAAACATATTTGGTGGGCCTAAGGGTGGGACTTATGATACAATAGCTTTATAGAGGTCATATATTATTTTTTTATTATTATTTTTTTCTATCTTCTTTATTTATACACAGTGATTCAAAGATTAGCCACCACTTTGCTTAACCCGTGTACAGCCAAGTTTTTTTGTTTTAAACTATTTTCTAGGGTCTCAATACCCGCTCTCAAGTATTATCTGTTGAAGCTGAAATTTGGTGCATGTTCGTTCAGATGCTGAAAGCCTTAATATAAACATACGCAAATGCTAAAAAAAAAATAGTATTTTATTTTTAACCTGAATCATTGCTTTGCATGTTTGTTGTAATACACTGTGCATGGTGTGTGTTTGAAAGATTCAGCTCATTAACATAGGTGTTATTTTTGTCTTTACAGCTTCCTTTTGAGGTGGAGATATACTATATTCAGCATATTATGCTATACGTGGTTCCGATCTACCTACTGAAGAAAGGAGGTATGACCCAAGAAATGCCTATCGTTCTTTATATATAACAATTTGTACCACTTGCATAATGATGTCTGCAGGCATTGTATTAACCCCTTAGTGTCCAGACTGTTTTTTCTTTTTTCAATTTTCTTACCATTAAGGACCAGGGCTCTTTTTACATTTCTGCGGTGTTTGTGTTTAGCTATAATTTTCCTCTTACTCATTTACTGTACCCACACATATTATATACCGTTTTTCTCCCCGTTAGTCTTTCTAAATATACAATTATTTTCATCATATAATTTACTATAAAAAAATCATAAAATATGAAAAAAAAAATTTTAAAAATAACACCTTTTCTAAATCTGTTATGCATCTACAACTGCCAAAAAAAACACCCATGCTAAATAGTTTCTAAATTTTGTCCTGAGTTTAGAAATGTCCAATGTTAACATGTTGTTAGTTGTTCTTTGGAAAGTTATAGGGCTATAAGTACAAGGAGCACTTTTTCTATTTCCAAACCATTGTAACCATGTAAATAATTTTGTTTAAATTTTTTAAATTTATTACCTTTTTATTTTGTTTTACTTTTTTCACCAGCAGGGGGGCTGCCTGTCAGTTCAGGCAGTCCCCCTGCTGGCAGCACTAAAAGAGCGGTCATATGGCCCCTGGGGGTCCAAAATTGGAGAAGGGGACAGCCCAGACAGTCTTCCCCCTCTCCCCCCTCCCCAAGAAGAAAACTGATCGTGGGCAGGGGAATGCCGGCGATCGGCAAATACATGGGGATGGTGAGCTCTGTCTCAATGCCGGGCTCTACGTGGAAAAACCCGGAAGTGATCAGGCTCCAGGTTGGCGGCCACCGGCTGTGAGGGGGGTATTGCAGCGATGCTGCAATACCATTAGAGCTGCTGGAAGAGATCATGATCGCTTCCAGCGCTGTAATTCCCCACAGACCTTAAGTACCATTTTTGTTGGACGTACCTGATACGTCCACGGTCACTAAGGGGTTAAAGGAACACTTAAATCTCCTTTGCTTGCTGAAGTGCCTTATGTGTATAATGTTTTCCTTTTTATTATACAAAAAGTGCAGATTTCAATAGAAACTGACACTTTTACAATAACGTTGTTCCCCCACCCTCCCCCCGGGTACTTCCTGGTATGTTTAACTCACTGGAGCTATGGTTAGCGCTAGGTAAGGTTTTACTAGGTAAGGTTTAACTGCTGCCGCTATTGTTAACTACGTTGAGCATTAAGTGAAGCAAGTGGCGTGGTAGACGCTGGTATAAGGTAGTGTCCGCTGGAAACTCTGGGGCATTCGCAAAGTGTCTTCCGAGTGGGCGCGTATGGCCTGCTGGGTGCGTTGCTTGAGCCAGTGGTTCTGTGGGGAGGTTAAGTAACCCCAGTGTCCCAGTGGCCTCTTCCATGTCGTGGACAACATGCTTGCTGGCTCCCTGTTCGCTGTTGAGGGCGCGGCCCGGCCCCCAACAGTATCTGATTTGGTGGAGGCGCAGGAGGGCCGGAATGTACTCATGGATCTCCTCCACACTAGTGTCCCTACCGAGAGGTCTGCTTAGAAGGAGAGGGTCATCCCTGGCTGACCTCTTGTGGCCTCCACGAACGCCTTTTTGTCCCTGGCTGATTGAAACTGGAGTATTAAATCTCCTGGGGCGGCAGGTGGGGCCTTTGCTGGTCGTGGTATGCGAAATAGACCCTCCAGGGTGATTGCTTTCGCTGCCTTTGGGGTTAACATCTCAGTGAGGAGTCTTCTAATGAAGTGTGGGAGTTCAGCCTCTGGTATGGCGTCGGCGACTCCCCTGAGTTTTGGGTTGTTTCGGCGGTGCTTGTCGTCTTGGGCGGCTACTTTTTGTTCATGCTGCCAGGATTTTTGCTGCAGGTCCTTGATCGCTGCTTGTAGGTCTGCGATCTTGTTAGTGTGGTTGGATGAGGAGGCCTCTACTGCTCCCAACCGGTCAGTTATGCCTTTGATGTCCTCTCTAATCAGGGCCACGTCGGTCGCGATCTTCTTGTGATGGTCTGGCATAAGCTCCCCAATAGCTTCCATGGTCACAGGAGTGGGGGCCTTCGTGTGTGGTGGCGTCCGTAGTGGCGGTGGGATCGGCAGGGCCATGATGGGGGTCTCCCCCTTCTTCGTCTGACGACCCATCTGAGCAGCCTCCGTGCAGGGACGCCATCTTGGCGCCTGCTGCATCGTACGCCTGCTGCCATAGTTCCCCGGTGTCCATGCTCTGGCGGGGCTTGTCGGGCTTCGCCTTCTTGCAGCCAATTTGGTCTTTGTGGTTTACAGGGTCACCCCATGGTAAGTTTTGGTTTGGGTTTCGGTGCCGAAAATATTGCTTATTTGGATATCCAGCCTGGAGCTACGCAGCCATGCGACCGTCTGCTTCAAGCGCTTAGCTACGCCCCCCAGGTTTTTTTTTTTTGTTTTTTTTTTTAATTCACTTTTGTATTACACAGCCATGTTACAACACTGTTACCCATCCCATGTGTTCCCTATTAAGGCTTAATAAGTATGTAGGGGTTTAGAAAAATACCCCTCTCTGTTTTCATCAGAGATTTCTTTGCCTAATGCTGAAGCAAGCAGGTGAAGTGTTTAGTGTAGGACACACTTAAGAGATTTGCCTCGACATGGCAGGTGGGCTCGCATCTAATGGCCATTGGAGTTACTAAATAACCTCCATTTATTTAAATATGCATAGGGATTTGGACTAGGGCGCAGGTAACTATTTTTCTTTGCTTGTTTTATATGTGTTGGGGCTGATGTGTGCTATGGTCGTTGCCGCCGGCTAGGAGTAGTGGGAGTTTAAGCGCAGGACTTATTTTTGTGTATTAGATTTCCTGTCTTGCTTATTTCTATATTATATCGTGTGTATTTGTTTAAGACTTGCTGGAAATGCAGTAGTTGTCTTCTATCACGAATGTAAATAAGTGTACAGTCGTGGGAGATTCCAGGATTTGGGGAAGTTCCATTAACTTGGGGTTACCACAGTATATTGTGTACTGCAAGTGTCGTAGAATAGCCTTGAAGCTTGTTTATGCATTATTGTTATTGTAATTCGTCTGGGACAAAATGGCGCAAACATATTATGCACTGAGGTTATTGCTTAAAGAAACAGTTATGAAAAACAATATGTTCCATTTCTAACACCTTGTCAATTTGCAATATCTCTTAAAGACAAAGTACACAGTTTAAGAAATACAACATTTCATTCTAAAACTTGTAATATTTGTATTTGCCCGTAACAAAACTGCAAAGACAAAGCCGTCGAAGAGTAACTGTTACTTTCGGGAATTTTTAATACAATGCTTACTTATCCTCTGGGTTATCTCCCACGCCGGCAATCATCTTTGCTGATGTGTAGTTCTAATACACATCAACTACAGACCCCATAAGGCTTTGCGGCCAGCCTATGATGACGTGATTATTACACACATCACGTGTTTCGGCAAATTATGCCAAAAATTGACCAATATAACCCTCATTTTCCACATATTTATATAAAACACCCTAGTACTATTTCTTCACAAACGTTGGTGTTTTAAGCAGTTTCTAACATGCAATCACTTACTGGTCTTTTATTGGACAGACCAATTTTGGCGCCTATTTTAATTAATCCCATACCTGTAAAAACCTCAAACAATGCCAGGTTGAAAGGTTCCATTTGATAAAGCCATCACAGCAAAACACGTTTTGGATATTTGTAATTGTTTTTTAGTAATAGATTTTGGTCACCTATTATTGTGCCATTATCTTTTATTATTTTATTACTTTCTTTTTATATATATATATATATATATTTTTTTTTAATTCTTTATTTTTATTGTGCAAGTGATATCAAACGAGCCCGTGTTGCCACATCAGCAGTCACAAGCTTAATAGAATCTTACATTGTCAAACATGGCAAATAGATAGTCTGCACAGTTTTATATTATTAATAAACAGGTGTTAAACTGAGAAGGCATCAATAATAATGAGAGCAACATAAAATGAGATAACATAAGATTAAGTCTAAAGATGAAAGCATTGCTATTCAGGCTTACAGTGCTAACATTGCTTAGGTGAGCAGTTATCCTGGCTTGGTGTCACATTAAGTTGGCATTAACAAATGTATCTGCGTTGATATCGCTTTTCAGGCGCTTTCACCTGTTTTGTATATCAGGACAGGTGAGGTACACGCTTCTATAGAACAAAGTGCCATAAAGCAACATTTGGTCTGCGCTCTAAGTTATGGCCATTCAGTGTTATGGTGTCAGGATCGCCACCTCGGCGTACACGTGCATATTAAACAGGCTAAACAATAGCGTTGACATTAGCGTATTTTTGTTGGTAATTAGTGGCTAAGTTTGTTGGATGATCTTGCTACGTTAACAGATACAGGCATGTAAACTGAGTGTTGTAGGATTGAAATGTGTAGTGCTATACGCTAGCTTTGCCTTCATGCTGAAGACATGTTAGTTCTTGTATTCAGTTATACAGTCTGCCCGTTCTATGGTCATTACAGATAATGCTGGTTTACAGTGCTATAGATGTAGACATGCTGTTGTCATAAGACATCCAGTATATAAAAACAAGTGATTATAGGAACACATTCTTTGTGAGAAAAGAACATAGATTGAACATGAGCACTGTGTGCTATCAGATTATATTAAGGAAAGCATAACTGGTGAGAGTGTAAAGGTATAATAACAGGAAGGATCAATTCAGTACTTGCTCAGAGTGATTGTTTAACTGTCTGGAACACATATTTGAGTATGCATGTTGTGAACAAGTAGTGATACAGGAGCCGACCCAGATACTGTAGTATTACAGTGTGGGGAAGTCTGCTTTGCTGTCTGGGGTCATCCAATGCCTGCAATGGCAATCCGTTGGTGCTGTGTGCCATATTCCATCGAGGCAGGGGCTGGGGCAGTGTCCTGAGAGGTAAAATCCTTTGGGCTGTTGCATTTGTTCGGCGCATGGAATAGATAGGCAGAGGGTCGTGGCTGATCTGTGCACCCTGGCTTGGTAGCTGTTCCCCTTTTTCAATGGCTCAGCTGTAGTAGCGCTATGCTGTGTCATTCGGTCCTTCCCTCGCCTTGGGTATTTAGAGGAAAGTGGAAGTATCCGTTTACGGCGGATGATCCTCCGTTTGCGCGGCATGTGCAGGGAGGCAGTGCCTTGGGGTGCTGTCCTCTTAGGTGGCGTTATGGCCATTGCTTTGGCTATGTTTTTCTGCTTTGGGCGGTTAATGCCCCTCTGTCTCTCCCTCCGCTTTGTCGTGTTGCTGGTTAATCGCTCTTGTGGTGTCGTTGCCAAAATCAGGTGCCTCGGCCGCGTGTGAGAGAGTGTGTGTTGTCGCTTTACCAGTGTAGCTGGTTTCAGAGCGGGTGGTGGGTTCCTCTTTCCCAATCTCTCCCAAAATTTCCGGCATACCTCCTCAAATTTAGCCTGAAAGGCCGCTGTCCATTCATCGGCTGTCTGAGGCGGTGGATTCGCGGCACTGCCGGCAGCCATCTTGGCTTGGCCTCGTGGGGTCGATTGGTCGGAATTGCTCTTATAAGTGTCCCAGAGGTGAGTGCTCACCGTAAGCTGGTGGACCAGGATGACCCCCGCCGGTCCATAGGGGGGGAAGCGAGAGCCCGCCGCCAGATATCCGGCATGGTGTTGCAGCTGGGGAGCGGCCGTCTCCCCTGCGCCTGCCATGCTTGTAGGCCTCACAGTGAGTTTAGCTCGGTTCTTCGCTTGAGAGGTATCGTTCTCCTCACTCCGATGCCCACTCTTGAGTGCTGGCCTTATAATCATGATTGTGTGCCGGTGTGGCAGTGAAATTCGGCTTTAGGTTGCTAAGTTTAGCAGGAGCTGCTGAGATAAGCGTCTTCACAGCTCTGCGGTTAGGCCCCGCCCCCCTCTTTTTATATTTTTAATTACCTGGTACCCTCAATTTCTAACCCTGTCTACTCCAAAGAATCCAGGTGGGGATCATACCACCGATGCAGTTGTCATAGAGCAGTTAGTCTGCTCTATCTTTGTGAGTATATATTCTTTTTTTATTATATCATACCAACTATTTATAATTTATTGAGAGTACTATTGCTGCCTTTTACTTTTGTTGTTTTGGGATTCCCAACATCTTCATCTCTGAGGACACCCACATCATATCCTTTAAGTGGGGATTATACTGCTATATACTATACATACCAGAGCTGGTTTAAGCTCTACTAAATGTGAGTGTAACCCTATTATTATCACTGACTGTTCATATTTTATTGAGAGCACTATCATTGCCTTTTATTTTTGTAATCTTGGGTTCCTGACCCCTTTTACCCTGAAGAAATACTCCCATCATATCCTTTAAGTAAGGGTCATACCGCTGTATACTATACACACCATAGCTGGCTTAAGTTCTACCAAATGTGAGTGCAACCTTTATTATGCTAATTTATTTTATTTTTTTATCCACAATTAGTGAGATTTAATCAGCTTCTTCACCTTTTGACACCCTTCTCTACATATACGGATATCAGAGAAGTATAAAGACTACTTCTTCCTGGTTATAAAAAGATCACACTCGATCCATAGTACCCCTAACAAGACTTTTCGGGGGGTGGCAGAGTTGATTAAGGTTAGCTGGTAAATATTTAATATCCATGTGGAAAAAGGACTCACAAGAAAAGAGATCAATATACGTTATTAGGGATTTTCAAAGTTTTATTCGTAGTGTGTTTTCCAGAAAAGTGACCGTTCATGTTTGGCACCTTGCGGCTTTACAATTCATTCATGATGCCATGTGATACTTGTTCAAAATAAATGCAGAAGCTTCATCTATTTACATACATGGTTAGCTTGTCCAAAGTTTCACAATTTTCTGGAGAAAGTTTTGAAGACAGGATTATTACATTATCTGATTGATTTAGGAAAAAAAAATAGATGGCTCCAATTATTTTTATCTATCTAATCCGTTTCAGTCCAAGTACATCATACCCAGAACATTATTATTTTTACTGGCTGTTTGCTGCCACCTATTGTTGTACTTGGTGCTGCGCAAGCAGCAACTGTAGTGATAGAAGAAGAGTGTTTGTGCAATTTGAGCCCACACTGGCTAATCTTAGAGTTATTTACTAAAATGAGAATGCAATGTGAATTTCAAATTCATGTGCAGAGTAGCCAAACTGAAAACTTAGCTAAGAGAGAAGAGAATTCTTTCATTTTGGCAATTTTTATCTTTTGAACACTTTAAAAAAAAAAAAAAAAAAAGTTATTGCACATCTACGGATGTAAATCTCACATTAGCCAACTACCACATTTCTATCATATTGAGGTTTGGCAATAGTCAATCCGGATATGTCTATTTATTGAGTAGGTGTATTGGGAAAAGTCCTTTTTTATACCTGTCTTCCTCCGTACAATTTTTTTGGCTTGTGGGTTTGTTTGTTTTCTTGCTTAGTATCTGAGAATAAGCAAGAAACATTTTTGCTTTGTTTTTGCTGTACTGTCAACACTGGAAGAAAGGTAGGGGGGAAAAAAAGGAAACTGCATTGGGTTGAATCTATCTGTCCATCTATCGTTTTAGAAATCTATATTATGCTAGTTTTATTTTTTGTTTTGTTTTTCACTGTAAAGTTGATTTCCCAGATGTGGTTATAATGTATTTTCTGTTATTCTGGTTTATAGGGGTATACACTCCAGAGCCTCTCTCGAACTTCTGGTGGGCAGTATTGGCAACTGGGCTCATGTTTTTCTACCACTTCAGCCTGCTCCAGACCCTCGGCCTGGTAAGTATAAAGTCATGCATTCAAACATACCAGTACCCGAAGATCACAGACGTCTGTTGATTTGGCATAAGATGAGGTCCTTTTGGGGATTACCTCTAATACTTGCACCATTACATAATTGAGTGCCAACACAATAAATATAGATTTTTATAAGATGAGACATTTTGCGCAATGATATTCCCTCTTAAAAAGCATGCCATAGCCTAATGCAAATTGCTGTTATAATATAATGTAGGTGTCCTGCTCCTGTTTATTGTGAAACATGTAGATAAGTAGGAATGCACAAAAATTAAATGATGGTTCTTAAAGTGCAAATAAGGTAAAAAGAAAACCTTTCAGTATGATACCGTATTTAGCAGTATCTAGAAGAAATATATAAACCGCACATAGTGTGATAAAAGCGTATATACAAAGACACGCAAGGAAAATGAGGAAAATGTACAAAATGTAAGGCACATCATCCCAATCTGGAGAAAAGCTTCAGAGCAATGTGGAAGGAGATCTTCTTTGGCACTTAATAATGGAAAGAGAACCAGATAATAGTGCATATATCACTTGGTACAAAAAAGATTTATTGCACTTACAAAAATGCAGTTAAAAACCGCATATATCCACTAGCGAGTGGAACACAGGTATACAGCACTGTAAGTCCCAAACTGTCAATCCGATGCGTTTCGTTCGCAGGACTTCGTCAGGGATGTGATTAAATTGTTCCTTAGCCTCTTCGTTTAAATATACCGCCGAAATAGGGGAATTGAGTACACCTGTCTTCTGTATGCGTGGCGTGCGTGTCACAGTGGGACGCATCCGATCTTTCGGCATCACTTCCGGTTACACTGATTTCCTCCATGCGTTCCAAGCTGGAACGCAGCTGCAGACTAGGCGTTCAGAATTTTACTGATACGGCTGGGGAACAGGAAATGCCACATACAGACCAAAAGAAAGTGTCCAACCATGACGGGACACAAAGGCTTTTGTAAAGCTAAAAAGTTAGGAATAAAAATAATTAAAAACAAGGTTTTTTTTTGTTTTTTTTTTTTCTGGAAGACTTATTGCAATTTACAGAGTTGGTAGGAGAGCTGCAGAGAAGCAGATATAAATCAGCCAAGCCACTGGGAGAAAAAAATAAGCAATGCTAGAACTGTGCAAATTAATGTCAAAATAGACCACCTTTATTTCTTCATATTTAAATTTGTGGCTCTGTGTCTTTTTACCTAGCGAGCCCAAAACAGGGGACACAGCTCTTGCTCATGCCAATGTTTGGAGAAAAGCCTGCTGATTTGCAGACATGGGTGGCTTTGTGACATGACCCCAGTTCAGCCAGTTTGTTTGACATATTATTTAGTGTTAATTCCCTTTCTTTATTCAGCACACTCTCCTAACCCATTAATAATTACATCTATGTACTCTAAAACACATTTTTTTTTCCCCTAACAATTCTTTGTTTTTCTTTTCTTTTTCACAGGTCACGGAGGTAAACTTGAATAACATGCTCTGCCCAGCTGTCTCTGACCCTTTTTATGGACCCTGGTATCGTATTTGGGCCTCAGGACATCAAACCCTCATGACAATGATCCATGGGAAACTTATAGTCTTCCTGTTTACCTCTGGCCTCCCAGGCTGCCGCTTCCTGATGGATTTAATTCCTCTGTCCAGCAAAAAAGTGGACTGAGCAGACACGTCACCACTGGAGAGGCTTTTTATCTTCGCCCTTTAAATGCTTTCATACCACATTTTCGTTTGTATCAATTTTAAAGACGAACAGTGTTAATGACTTCCAATTGGCACAAACAAGTGACCTTACAGTATGGGCCCGTCTGTCCAAGCTTTCTCTTTTCTTTTTTTTTTCTTTCTTTCTTCTTATAATACTGACCATACTGATAGCCAGACTGTTAACATATACCAGTCACATAAAACCTGGTGAAACAGGGAGGCATTAGTTGGCCCATGGACTAACTACGCCAGAAGCAAAGGGAGTTACAAAGCAGCCAGGTATATTAAATCTGGTCATCTATAGGAAAACCTATGTACAGATTAATATTTTTATTATTTAAAAATGATATAAAATTACCTTCTTTTCAGTTGACAAGTCCACGTTAATGACTTGAGCGTTAAAGCCAATTCACATTTTGCACAGGATATAGTACAGAAATTGGTGTAGGGAGAAAGTCTTCCTTCATATTTTTTCCCTTTCTATCCAGTGGACCCACAGATTTGTGGTGCTTCTATTTATGTGGTGGTGGTGTGTTTTTGTTTGTGTTTTTTTTTATTTTATTGTTCGACTAAAATCGTACAGTTGCCTGGTTTTACATATGGATATACTTTTTGAAAGGCTGGGTACTTCCCTGGTGCCTTCTCGTACATTCTTTTAAAAATGTACCAACAAAGAAAGAGAACTTTTTGTCAGATGAAAGCACATTAATCTTCACTATAACCTTTCTGCCAGCATTGCTCGCCATCGAGTCTGTAAGTGGCCGATACGCAGTTACATATTACAGGTTGTAGTACACTACTTTTGCGGCACCCCCAATATAAGTGGTGCTGTACTCAAGTGTATAAGTTCTGAAGTTTTGCACTCCTTTTCAATAAAGCCACTCGTTTACTTATTCCCCAATTAAAACTTGTACAAGAAAAAAAAAAAGTTGGCCCTTCATAGTAAGTCAGTTGGAGAATTATTTTTATGACCTTAATTTAACAAAATTTGGTTAATTTCATTGTTTAGAGAATAACCCCTTTATCTGAGTTTTGAAAGTCGGGCAAGAGTCATTGGATTTTCTTGTTTAATTGCTGAACAGTACAAATCCATCTCACATACATGTTCTCATTGTATTCTTTACGTAGCCACTGCTGCGGATTCCCCTTTCTATGCTCCTGATGGACACTCGATTATTTTGTAATGGCGTATTACTGCAGTTATTTTAATACTAAAATGCTCTTAAATGTTCAAGGTGAGGACCAGTATTTGGGTTCTGTGTAATCTCACTATTACATAGCATTTCACAGATAAATTCGTTTCTTTTTTTTCTTTTTTTCCATATCTCCTTGTGCCAACATGTTCTAGTGTTCTGCCAAACTATACAAATTCAATTATGGGTACAAGTTCTCCACCAGCAGAAAATGTCCAAATTCTTACATTGCCACCTTACCAGGCTAGGTAATCTAGAGGTAGATTTGCCTTTTCAATAATGAATTCTGTTTCTGCAGCTGTTTTTCTTGACTACATAATCCTATAATCCAGTCAAGGTGGTGTATAAAGGAACACTGCACACTTATAAATAAATACATGGATTTAGTTATAATGCCATAGTGTTGTTTAGTTTCTTGGGCCTCTTTTGTCGTCTGCCCCCACTTTACGCTTAAATAGAGCGTTGCTTATATGTGATTCAATAAGGTCTCCTCACAACAGCTCCTATACTTTGGTATACATTATTTCCTGAATAAGAGCGGGTTTACTCTAGCCTGAAATGTCCCTTTAATTTTTAGTCACATTTCTTCCCCATGTCAGCTAGGTGTTCAGTATACAATGTCATTTGGGGTCTATGTCTAGCACATGATAAACCGTATTAAGTGCCATAAATAAACACTGTTCTCTGACACATTCCATGCATTGATTAGACCAAACCATTGATCTGTAGAAGCTGCAATGGTCTACTCTATATGTGTGCATTGGGGAAGATTTATCAAAGTGTCGTTTAAAGATGTAAAAGGCAATTGTCACCAGTGGATTGCGCCTGCTGGTTCCACTGGTTTCCATGGTGATTGCTCCACGTAATACCTTGCATCATTTTCGTAAGATGAACACTTTGATAGGTCTCTCCCATTGTACATTTGCTGTAGAGATTTCTCAATCAATAGAATACATTCATCTAATGTGTTCTGAGTTAGCTCAAACATTCCTTAGATCCCGTTTCCCTGCGCAGTTTGTTGTATTGCCTGTTGAACACTGAAGAACTCTTGTATACTACATTTTGTAAGTACACCTATATTGATGTGTGTGTGTTTGTAAAAAGACATTGGATACCGATTTACTGCTCTCTATCATAAACTTTTGGATCAATACTTTTTGCTGTGATTAGTTATCTGTTTACATTATCTCTGATGTAATGAAATGTATAGCCAAATTTATCATTAATAGCACTTTTGGCAGTCTGATATTTGACTTGTTACATACGCTAAATGGATTTAGATGTAAGGCGTTGTGTGTGTTCTGATCACAGGAAAGGCACACCTATCTACATACCATTTATTTACTCTATATATTTGCACCACAAAAATAAAGCATTTTCTATGCCTTTTCAATCCATCTAAAGGACAGGGTTTGATGTCTAAATGTTCAATAGATTTGATATGTATATATTTTTAGGTTCTCATTTTTTTTTTTTTTTTGTAAAGGTTTAGTTGAATTTTCAACGTTATATATGTAAACATGGATTTCATATGTTTGTTTTTTTACATGGTGTGAAAAGTCATGTACATTGTTAGTAAATATATTATTTGCAAATATTAGCACACAGGCTTAATTCATACATTTATCAAAGCTGTCTAGCCATTGTGCTACAAGGAATTTCAGGTTTCTAAAGATCAGTCTTTCACAATATTTGCACAAGTCATTCTAATCTGTGTCAGTACAAGTTGTTTTTTAATTTCTTTTAACCACTTCACTTCCAGATGTATTTTGCAGAATGAAATATAGTCAATAAAACCTAATTTATACTCTAGGAGTGGTTACCAGCCTGTAGAGGAATAATTAATTTGTCTGCCTGAAGCTACTTGACACTGATCTAAAGCTTCTCGTTATGCTGAAAATGTAAGCTCACCCCCCTCCCTGCTTTCAAACAGTAAAGGAAATTTCAGTGGGTCATAACATTCCTACAATAAGAAATGGTGTATGTGAATGGACTGTTGGTATTACATTAGCATTCTGGAGAGGGATGAAGATTGCCATAGTGGTTGTGAATACCTTTTATTTTAGAAATATTTATCTGTATTTACTTAATGCAGGCATTATGCTAAAATGCAGACATTCTTTTTACATTCTGTTGCCATTTTAGTAAGCTGCACTGGTATTATTGCCTTTAGGGGCCTTACAAAATACCTATAAGCTAAATATTTGACCATTTCTATTTCTTTTTTGTCACCTAGTGTAAGAGAAAGATTGCATTTTTGTTTATATACTAACGTTGCAGACACTGAGTGAAATAGGGCAAGATAAAGTATAGTGTCTAAAGCTTTTCATTTCCCAAATATTTTTAAAAGGCCTAAAGAATGATTGAAAATGGTGTAAATTTACATATCTGTATATTAGTATGCAAAGCACTCTCTACACACGACATTGCTGTGGTATAATAGGTTTATATTCTAGCTATTGGTCCTTTGCTTCTAATAAATGTGATGTTAATGTCAGAGGACTAAATTATAGTGCTGATAGGTTGTAAACGCCACTTCAGTCTGTGTTCAACGTATTTTTGTCCTAATAAAGAAACAAAAATCACTGCTAAACTTGTCCCATGGATTTTGAGTTGGTTCATACATTCCTCATATTAATAGTTCGGGGGAGGGGGGGCAAAGTATGGGAACCAGATTAGGCTACTTTAACAATTTCTTCTTCAGACGAATAATGGCTAGTCGCCACAGTGCCAACGCCAACCTCATATCCAGGGATATGTAGAGCTTGTTTGATTTATCATAAGCCTGCAACTGATAGTACATCAACGCAGCTTTCTTTACTCTTTTGAAACTCCCCTTTACTGAGTGGGGCATACTGTGAATTTTAGATTAATTTATTTTGTGGTGTTTAAATGCTACTAAAATAGGTTAAATATACATCTAATTTATTTTAAATGTTTACTTGTTTTCCATCTTTTTACCTGCCATTAGAGTTTGGTTAGCCAAGATTGCATGTTGAATATTTGTTCAGTGAAAGTCATCTCTAAAGCTGTTATTTTAAATGATACCATTTCAATTCGGTGCCAAATAGCTGAAATCAACTCCTTCACCTGTAGCACAATGTTTCAGGTATGTAGTTAGAAGCAGAACCACCAGGATGCCATCATATTATACAGTTTTCATGCGCCATTGACTTACACATTACTAAGAACTTACATGCTGTGGCAAATCCACACCACTGAATCACTGACATTACATTGTTGATGCATATGCCTTTGGTTCCCAACAGTTAAGGCACAGCAATGGGGCGAACTTTGTCAGTGTTTGTATTGGAAAAAGTTGAAAAAATTCCCAAATCCTGTACTGTTGATGTGTGTTGAGTACTGGATTGTGAACCAATTGCCTAGGTTTGTTTGTTTTGCAGCATCTAAGCAGCAAACATAGCTAAAATCCTCCCCCTTTTTTTTTATTTTTTTTTACAGAAGACACCACAATATAATGATTTACTTGTGATATCTTCCCTTTGAGAATTTCATTGTAAGCAGGATTCTACTTTTCTATATGTGAACATTGTGCTATCTGATGTGTGTGAGGTATTTCTAACCTTTTATTTTTCTAGCTTTCCTATGTGAGAAAAGTGTTTTTGGTAATAACTGAAATTGAAATGTTTGTGGAATTAAAGTTTGTGTAAGTTTTTAATAAAGCAAATGTCTTGACAATAATAAATACAGTCTGCCCTCTTCTTTTTGTCCGTTATTCTCTTTCCCCTTTTTGCTTTTTTGGAGGAGTCCTTTGAATGTGAAAATAAAAGCCAATGCCTGGTATACTTGGAGTTGAAATGCTTATCCAATCCGATGCTTAGGATTTTCTCAGATGTACTGCTCTTGATGCAGAGAAATGTATGTGCTAAATAATGAGCTCAGAAAAAGGGCAGGATTTCTGTCTGGTGTGAGAAGGGATTGGAAAAGCAGTGGCTGTCAATCGCAGCGAGGATGATTCATTTTAGAAATATTTTCAATTAATGTGATGTGTGTAGTACGTGCATGACATGGTTAATTATTGGGGGTGGTAAGACTGATTACAACACTATTTTGGTCTTTTAGCCACATAAAGATTACGCCGTATTAGTAAATTCTGCCCCTACTTGCTATATTTCAAGTAGGGCTACGTCTACTAAATTTATTGTAATTCCCCCCATTTTCATTTAGGGCTCCCACACACCGCTCACAGGTGGGGGCTGGGGGGTGGACAATAGGTTCCCCCCCCCCCTCTTTTTTTTTATTTAGGGCCCCCACCCGCTGCTCGGGGGGGGCCAAGGGGGGACCCTATGTCCCGCGTTGAGTTGCATAGCCCCCCACTCACAGGCCACGGCTCGGGGGGGACACTGTGTTAATAGATGGCCCCATGGTGGGGCAGTTGTTGGAGGCGGGGGGTTATTTTTACAACAGTGAGCAGGCTGCTCACGGTTTTGTAGACATGCCCCTACTCACGGCATAGCGAGTAGAAGCATTCGGGAGATTTTAATCTCCCTTATGATAATATGGGGTCATATTGACCCCAATAGAGTGAGGGAGGACATGGGGGGCTTAGGAAATGCACTGCTTCCTGCCGCTCTTATTTTTACATTTTACAAGGAGCGAGCTGCAAACCGGTAGCCTCCTCCTTGTAATAAACTTTGTTCTTCTGACATTTCTATTAATTCCTTCATCTTTCTGACGAATGAATAGATGAAATTCCCATTCGCGTGCCCAAGTGTTTAACTGGGCATGCACAGGAATTTCACAGCGCTATCTAGTGTGGGCAGATGACGCATCCTACAGGGACATCTACCCGCACAGGGCCGGCGCGTCCATAAGGCGGCACAGGCGGCCGCCTTAGGGCGCACGGGCTCTGGGGGCGCAATATTTCAGTGACCGGCAGGAGGGAAGCTCTCCCTCCTGCCAGGCCACCATCTCGACCCCCGGCGCAGCGCGCGGCAGTGCTGTGATCAGGCGCGCGAGGGAGCTCTAATCTCCACCCTCTGCTCCCTCGCGCGCTGCCTACTGATGCCGCGGGAGCCGGAATATGACGTCATCAGTAGGCAGCCCGCGAGGGAGCAGAGGGTGGAGATTAGAGCTCCCTCGCGCGCCTGATCACAGCACTGCCGCGCGCCTCTCAGCAGCCCCAGCCCTCAGGGACCGATCCAGCATCCACACCAGCTCTCCAGGTAGGGAGGCTGGGTGGAAAATGTTTATTTATAAAATTATTAGTGAATGTATGTGATGTGTGTCTGTGTGTGTGTGTCTGTGAGTGACAGTGTGTTTGTCTGTGTGTGTGTCTGTGAGTGACAGTGTGTGTGTGTCGTGTGTCTGTGAGTGACAGTGTGTGTGTGTGTCTGTGACTGTGTGTCTGTGAGTGACAGTGTGTGTGTCTGTGAGTGACTGAGCGTGTGTCTGTGAGTGACTGAGCGTGTGTCTGTGAGTGACTGTGAGTGACTGTGTGTCTGTGAGTGACAGTGTGTGTGTCTGTGAGTGACTGAGCGTGTGTCTGTGAGTGACAGTGTGTGTGTCTGTGAGTGACTGAGCGTGTCTGTCTGTGTGTCTGTGAGTGACAGTGTGTGTGTCCATGAATGACTGTGTGCGTCTCTGTGTGTGTCTGTGAGTGACAGCGTGTGTGTCTGTGAGTGACAGTGTGTGTGTGTGATTGTATGAGTGTGTGTGCATGTGATTGTATGAGTGTGTGTGCATGTGTGTGTCTGAGTGACTGAGCGTGTGTCTGTGAGTGACAGTGTGTGTGTGTGTGTGAGTGATTGTATGAGTGTGTGTGTCTAAGTGACTGAGCGTGTGTCTGTGAGTGACAGCATGTGTGTCTGAGTGACTGAGTGTGTGTGAGTGAGTGATTGTATGAGTGTGTGTGTCTGAGTGACTGAGCGTGTGTCTGTGAGTGACAGTGTGTGTGTGTGTGTCTGTGAGTGACTGTGTGCTTCGGTGTGTGTCTGTGAGTGACAGTGTGTGTTTGTGAGTGAGTGACTGTCTGTGTGTCTGTGAGTGATTGTATGAGTGTGTGTGCATGTGAGTGTATGAGTGTGTCTGTCAGTGTATGATGAGTGTGTTTGTCAGTGTATGAGTGTGTGTCTGTCAAATCAGTGAGAGTATGTTTGTCATTGAGTCTGTGTGTGACTATCAGTGTGTCTGTCAATGAGTGTCAATCAGTGTGGGTCTGTCAGTGTCAATGAATGAGTGTGTGTCAGATTAATGAGTCTGTGTCTGTCAGTGACGTCTGTGTGTTTGTCATTGAGTGTGTGACTGTCAGTGTGTACAGAGTGTAGTGGAGCAGAGCGCGGTACAGGAGCTTCTGTTTCCTGTACCTGGCCAGACTGACAGGAGGTGCTCACAGAGAGAGCACTCCCTGTCAGTCCGTCCGAGTACAGAAAACTGAAGCTCCTTTAGGGGATCTGCTCCGCTCGGCAATGCAACAATAGAGGTAGGAGGCACACACCAGGAAGTGTGACCACTAAAGGGGTGGGGGGTGCACCAAGGGACAGGGAGGGAATGGGAGAGAAACACCAAGAGACAGGGAAAAAAGGGGGGAGGGGAAGGGGGGAGGGGAGAACACTAAGGGACAGGGAACGGAAGGGACCACTAATGGTCGGGGAGGGGAGAGGGGCTGGTTAAGAGGCACATAGGTGAAGATTTTGGGGGGGGAGGGGGAAGGGGGGCGGAAAAAAGCATCTTCGCCTATGTACCTAAAAATCCAAGCACCGGCCCTGTACCCGCACAAAGATGGAGGTGACCAGGACCTAAGTCCAGGCACAAAATAAAGATTTAGTGGCATTTTGGGATAACTAGGGGGACAATTGGATGTAGTGGAGTCTGGAGGGAGGTTAAAAGAAACAACAACCTGGATTCGGCCATGACAGTGCCGGTTTAATAACATGGATAAGCCTGTGTGTTCCCAGAGCCTTACCTCTTGGAGACTTGTTACTGTAAATCAACAAATTTTACAATGTCCTGTCTTGACTAGGAGAGAGACTGATTGTGGTGTAAATAGAACCAGTTTTCTCCTTAAACAATATGTAGCCTTCCCTGAACTGGATAGTCTGCATTATTTTAACTTCTTGATGCATTTTTTTTTTTTTTTTTTTAACCTTGAGATATAGTTTTAACATTTACAATGCACCCTGAGAAGTCTGAGATCCCATATCCATATCCACAAACTGCACAAGTGAAAAACTGTGTAAACTTTCTTTGTAAGCAAACATACTACATTCCCTAAACAAACACTCTACAACCTCTATACACACTATGCTCCCTATACACACACTCACTCTCTAGAGCCCCTAGCCACACACTTCCCCACAAACACAACACAACTGAAACCGACTTATTTACACAACAATTACACCACAATCAGCTTACTCTACACACACGCAATCCCACAAGCAGGCTCCAAACACATGCACAATACGCTTTCCTGGCCCTTTTGTCTCCTGGTATCCCACTTATGGAGACACCAGAGACAAGTTACTAGCAAACACAGCACAAACATGTTATTAAAAATTGCTTGCGCTGTTCAGAACAAATACAGGGCCTTTTCATCATGCTAGAGCTCTACAGAAGAGCTCTGCCCTGGAAAAGCATTGAACCAACATGCTTACTTTGAGAGGGGGTGTACTTGCCATTGGTGATGTCAAAACACACACCGCTCTGGAAGAACCCTTTCCTGATCTATCATGGCAGCATTTACTCATGGGTTAGCTCCTCCTCTTACAGCAGAAAGGACAGGAAATAGAACTCTGAAACTGGTATAAATAGATCCTCCCCCTTCCCATCAGGCAGTCTTTTTTTTTTCCTGTCCTGCACAGCAGTTTGGAAGGAGTCTGCTTTTTCTTTTATGCTCACCAGGAAATATTTTTGTAGCCCTGACGGGGTTCAGCCTCTAAGCCCTGAAGACCCAGCAACGCACTATTGTAAAAATGGCTAGCCTGGGTACCCCCTTTAGTGACCGGGGGTCAGACCCAACCTCTCCCTCAGAGGAGGAAAATGGTCCACTGCATGCCAGGGTTCAGCCTCTTATCCCTGAAGTCCCAGCAACAGCCCAGCTTGGGTACCCCCTCACGGGATGAATGTGATATACTGCCTACATGAAGCCATGCCAGGGTTCAGCCTCTTATCCCTGAAGATCCAGCAAACGGCACATCTGTAAAAGTTGCCAGCCTGGGTACCTACTTCAGCAACCGGGGTTTGACCTATCGCTCTCTCGGAAGGGATGACCATAGTCCACTGCATACATGAGGCCCAGCCGAGTCTAAGCCTTTATCCCTGAAGACCCAACAAACAGCACATCTGTAAGAGTTGCTAGCCTGGGTACCTCCTTCAGCAGTCAGGAGTCTAACCTATCTCTCTCTCTGAGGGGATGGCAGCTGGATGACACTGCATACATGAGGCCCAGCTGAGTCTAAGCCTTTATCCATGAAGACCCAGTATACAGCATTTCCATAAGCTAACTACCTGGATATACCTATTCTGTGTTCCACCTTGTCTGGGGTTTGGTTAAATCTTCTCCCACTGATGAATGGCATATGGGGTACAGATGGAAGTGTATAGTTTAAACAGTTTAGGCTGTCAGTTGTTCAAATCCCCATTTTGCTGCTGAAACACAGGCCTGCAGCTGTTCAGGTAAGTGTATTTGTAACAGTGTAAGCATGCAGAAGCCAAAGAGAGATGGACACAGGTATTCAGGAAGTA